AGGTGATCCACCTACCTCGGCCTCCCAAAGTGCTAGGATTACAGGCATGAGCCACCGCACCCAGCCTAAAGTGGCTATCTTCTAATCCAACCTGTCAACTTCTTCCTATTCCAACTTTCAGTCTCTAAGCTGTCTACTCCTTCTAGTTCTTGATTAGCCAGAGTTAAGCCAAACAAAAATATGTTTTGATGTTTTGTCTGCTCACCGCACACCCAGGCAACGTGAATAAGGGGACACATTTGCTCCCTCAGTTTATACCAATCACAAGTGCAAGCAGAACAGCTGAGAAGAGAGGGCGGTGTCCTCTGGCTGATGACCCTTTCCACCTCTGGGACACAGGTGTGTATAACATCTGTTCTCCCAACCATCATCCATGACTTGTTCCCTCTAATCCTTCACAATCTCTCCAGCAGTTGTTTCTCTCTTTTCTTTTTTTTTTTTTGAGATGGAATCTCACTCTGTCACCAGGCTGGAGTGCAGTGGCGTGATCTCGGCTCCCTGCAACCTCTGTCTCCCAGGTTTAAGTGATTCTCCTGTCTCAGCCTCCTGAGTAGCTGGGACTGCAAGTGCATGCCACCACGCCCAGCTACTTTTTCTGTATTTTTAGTAGAGACGGGGTTTCACCATGTTGGCCAGGATGGTCTTGATCTCTTGACCTCATGATCCGCCAGCCTCAGTCTCCCAAAGTGCCAGGATTACAGGCGTGAGCCACCGTACCTGGTCCAGCAGTTGTTTTTCTAAAACACAAATAGGCCGGGTGCATAGTTTGAGTAACCTATTATTTTGACACTACACTCCAACCTGGGTGACAGAGTGAGACCCTGTCTCTAAAATAAAAAACAAAACAGGCTACCTGGTGAGTAGCATAACTCATGGTGGGGTAGAAATCAAGGCCAACATAGTATTTCTGTAATGACTCTGCTGCTTTTAGGTTGGGTTAGGCAATATCCTCTTGCTAAGATTAGTATCGACTCTGAGAAATACTTTATTCAGTTGTAAAGTCCCAGTTAAATTCCTTTGCACAACTGGAGAAATAAAACCTTTGATTAAAAACTAAAATTTCCCCAGCCCTCTAAAAAGGGATGGGGGAGGGGAGCAGGTGGAGAGGAATGTCTGATCTGTCATATTCTTTAGTCAGAGCCATAAACGTGTTTGGGTAAGACAATCTGATGTTCTGATAACGTTGATAAAAGTCACTTGAAGATTGGGTCACAGGAAGCCCAAGATAAATGCTGAGAGGAAACAGGTTCTTTTTGAAGTAGCCTCTTCGTAATCATTTTCCCACACATTCGTTCAACTTCCGAAAAAGGACTGAATACCTGATCTGCTTTGCAAATGAAACAGTTTAAGAAAGAGAAATTGAGATAATAATTAATAAATGTGTTTGGAAGGCTCCTCCAGCTTGCTTTAAGTTCAGGCTGTGGCTTCAGAACTGTGTTAACTTCTCCTGTAAAGGCACAGGCTAATGGTGGTCTTCAGTGATTTTTACTCTACCTTGTTTTAAAAATGGATTCAAAGTGATTTATTGGAAAAGATTAAGACAGAAAATAACATTAGGACGAAAGAAGAAAGGGAGTAGGAGGAAATGATGATCCAGAGAAAAATAAGACTATAAGCAGGTCATCAGATATTACAGTCCTATCAGTGAAAGCACAGTGGAAAACGCATATTTTACCTCACTCTTTTTATACATGCAGGGAGAAAATAGTCTGATATAACAATCCGGTACTTAGCTTTAAAAGAAATTTTTCTTGGCCGGGCGCGGTAGCTCAAGCCTGTAATCCCAGCACTTTGGGAGGCCGAGATGGGCGGATCACGAGGTCAGGAGATCGAGACCATCCTGGCTAACCCGGTGACACCCCGTGTCTACTAAAAAATACAAAAAACTAGCCAGGCGAGGTGGCGGGCGCCTGTAGTCCCAGCTACTCCGGAGGCTGAGGCAGGAGAATGGCGTGAACCCGGGAGGCGGAGCTTGCAGTGAGCTGAGATCTGGCCACTGTACTCCAGCCTGGGCGACAGAGCAAGACTCTGTCTCAAAAAAAAAAAAAAAAGAAATTTTTCTTGAACGTCTTCACAAGATGATAGGATGGACAATGTCTTCAGCAGCATCCCGACAACACAGGCAGTAACAGGTTTTGTAAGGCAGTGGCTCAATGGTATTGCTTGATAAAACTGGATACCGTAGCTCCAGAACTCAATTGGAGAAGAGGGGCAAAGGGGGCAAAGGCAGCACAATTTATTATCTTGTACATGCCAGGGCAGGCCTTTAATTCTGTCTTCATGTTCTACACACAGGTAAGAGTTTTACATAAGCTGGAAGTGGGGGAGAGGAAGACCCCTGGAATGGCCAGAGGAGTTTCCGCCCCTACAAAAACCACATTTTAAAAAAGTCACTTGACGCCAGGTGCAGCGGCTCACGCCTGTTATCCCAGTGCTTTGGGAAGCTGAGGCGGACAGATCACGAGGTCAGGAGTCCGAAACCAGCCTGGCCAATATGGTGAAACCCCATCTCTACTGAAAATACAAAGTAAGCCGGGTGTGGTGGTGCATCTGTTGTACCAGCTACTTGGGAGGCTGAGGCAGGAGAATCACTTGAACTCGGGAGGCGGAGGTTGCAGTGAGCTGAGATTGTGCCACTGCACTCCAGCCTGGGTGACAGAGTGAGACTCCGTCTCAAAAAATAAAAAGTAAAAATAAAAAATTAGCCAGGTGTGGGGGCATGCACCTAGTTACTCAGGGGGCTGAGGCAGAAGGATTGCTTGAGCCCAGGAGTTCAAGGGGGCAGTGATCTATGAATGCACCACTGCACTCAAGCCTGGGCAATAGGGCAAAACCCTGTCTTTAAAAACAAAGTCATTTGAGACACAAAATTACAGCTAGATAGAAGGTCTAGTGTTTTTATAGCACTGCAGAATGACTATTCAAATAGCTATAAAATACTGAGTGTTCACAACACAAGGAAATAATGTCTGAGAAGATGTACATGCTAACTACCCTGATCTGATCATCATATATTGTATCAAAACATCACAATGTACCTCATAATATAATTATGTGTCAATTAAAAAACAAAAATTTTAGGCCCGGCGAGGTGGCTCATGCCTGTAATCCCAGCACTTTGGGAGGCCGAGGCAGGCGGATCACGAGGTCAGAAGATCGAGACCATCTTGGCTAACATGGTGAAACCCCATCTCAACTAAAAATACAAAAAATTAGCCGGGCATGGTGGCGGGTGCCTATGGTCCCAGTTACTCGGGAGGCTGAGGCAGAAGAATGGCATGAACCCAGGAGGCGGAGCTTGCAGTGAGCCGAGATTGCACCACTGCACTCTAGCCTAGGTGACAGAGCAAGACTCTGTCTAAAAAAAAAAAAAAAAAATTTAAGTCCTTTGAAACTTGTTGACAAATCAAAGTTTGTTTTCTACTTTGAATTTCTTAAGCGTGCCAATCACAGTGCCTGGTAAACAATGTTTGTCAAAAGAACATGATTAACAAAAACCCAATTGTTACTGGGTTGGAGATACTTTAAGCTTCTGAATGAGATCATGGCACTGTTACCACTAAGTAATGGTACCTTTCATAGAATACTTTCTACATACACACTTCCTTAAGTTATGACCTGAGAATTGGTTTCTGTTCTCAAACACCTAATGAAAAGGATAACAAAACTCAGAAGTATTTTTGGGGTCAGGCGTGGTGGCTCACACGTAATCCCAGCACTTTGGGAGGCCGAGGTGGGTGGATCACCTGAGGTTGGGAGTTCGAGACCAGCCTGACCAACATGGAGAAACACTGTCTCCACTAAAAATAGAAAATTAGCCAGGCATGATGGCGCATGCCTATAGTCCCAAGTACTCTGAAGGCTGAGGCAGGAGAATCACTTGAACCTGGGGGGCGGAGGTTGCAGTGAGCTGAGATCGTGCCATTGCACTCCAGCCTGGGCAACAAGAGCAAAACTCCGTCTCAAAAAAAAAAAAAGTGTTTTTGGTGAAAAATACATTTTATCAATGAGAAGAAGCATATTTAAAAACGTTTGTCCAGCTGGGCACAGTGGCTCAGGCCTGTAATCCCAGCACTTTGGGAGGCTGAGGCGGGTGGATCACCTGAGGTCAGGAGTTCGAGACCAGCCTTAACAACACGGTGAAATTCCGTCTCTACTAAAAATACAAAATTAGCTGGGCGTGGTGGTGCATGCCTGTAAACCCAGCTACTCAGGAGGTTGAGGTAGGAGAATCGCTTGAATCTGGGAGGTGGAGGTTGCAATGAGCTAAGACTGTGCCATTGCACTCCAGCCTGGGCAACAAGAGTGGAACTCTGTCTCAAAAACTAAACTAAACTAAAATTAAATTAAATTAAATTAAAAAAACATATTTCTCTAAGGAATCGACCTAAATGTCCATCAATGACAGACTGGATGAAGAAAATGTGGTACATATATACCATGGAATATTATGCAGCCATAAAAAAGAATGAGATCATGTCTTTTGTGGGAACATGGATAGAGCTGGAGGCTACTATCCTTAGCAAACTAACACAGGAACAGAAAACCAAATACCGCATGTTGTCACTTATAAGTGGGAGCTAAACGATAAGATCTTATGAACACGAAGAAGGAAACAACAGACACTGGGGTCTACTTGAGGGGAGAGGATGAGAGGAGGGAGAAGAGCAGAAAAGGTAACTATTGGGTAGTGGGTTTAATACCTGGGTGATGAAACAATCTGTACAACAAACCCCATGACATGTGTTTACCTATGTAACAAACCTTCACATGTACTGCCAAACCTAAAAGTTTAAAGAAGTAAATAGCATCTCTCTCAGATTTGCTTCATGATTTCTGCTTAAAAGACCCACAACATTAAGCGTTTCTGGGTGTGAAATTACACAGGCCTCTCTTAACCACAAATTGAGATGCCAAGCACAAAGAACATGCTCATTAATATCAGGGTGGAAGTAAGCACAAAGATAGTTGAGAAAAGCAGCAGATCACTACTACAGGCATTAGGTAAAAGATTTTTATTCTTATTTAACCATGCTGCATGTATACATACAATATCAATATATACAACTTGAACAAATACAATTTATACATAAAATACAATGAAAGCGTGGCTTTTGAAATTAATGCAACAAACTGTACAATTTGTAATTCTGGCCAGTATACAGTATTATAGTAATGCTACTGAAGTTATTCATTATTTAAATTAGTCAGACTACAGTGTAAGTTCAAAGGCACTAGAAACATCTATGTTTTCTTCTAGTATTTTTAAGAACAAAAAATAATTAAAAACAAACAAATGTATACACTAGGAAATTGGGCAGACACTGGTGTACTTAAATGTAAACGTTACCCATTCCTTAATTCACAGCCTGTAGGAAAGAAGAAGACTTTCCTTAAGAGTGAAGGGGAAGGATATTAAAAACAGACTAAAAAGAAACAAACAAAACAAAAAACAACCAAAAACCATAATCATAGTTTTAAAAACATGTTACAGAGGAAGTAGCACCACCCCCTCCCCCAAAACAACCTTAAATTTTTGCTGCAAAAAGAAAACAACAACAACAACAAAAAAAACAACTCCCTTTCTCCAGAAAGGAAATGAAATGGCTTGTCAAATGGATTCTATTCATGGGGCAAACATGGAGATGCAACCCTCCCCGTGATTACTCATCTCATGCTTTATAAGAATCTAAACACAAATAGGAAACACTATGATAATTTTAACATCCTATTAGTATATGTAATTGTAAGGATTATTAAAGAAGATACTATAAACCAATAATTCTACCAATGCTCCTTTTAATAAATAAATACTACTTTTTAAATTAAAGGGAAAAGAGAATACCCATTCAATAACCTATTTATATGTATGTGCCACTCATTTTAAATCTGCATATTTATTTCAAAAAATGAGCAAGTATGTTCATCTATATTGTCTCAGGAAATTAACACTCACCATACAAAATATTTCATTTATGGACAAAGACACAGTAAATGTGAGGAAACTACAGAATTGCTATGACTGGAGCTAAATGAATAGCTCTGAAGTCAGTGTCCCATATTTGCATATAGATATTCAGACCAGGCTTGAGGCCAGGTGTGGTGGCTCACACCTGTAATCCCAGCACTTTGGGAGGCCGAGGTGGGTAGATCACAAGGTCAGGAGTTCGAGACCAGCCTGGCCAACATGGTGAAACCTGGTCTCTACTAAAAAAAATACAAAAATTAGCAGGGTGTGGTGGCGCCTGCCTATAATCCCAGCTACTCAGGAGGCTAAGGCAGGAGAATTGCTTGAACCCAGGAGGCGGAGGTTGCAATGAGCCAAGATCGCGCCACTGCACTCCAGCCTGGGTGACAGAGTAAGACTCTGTCTCAAAAAAAAAAAAAAAAAAAAAAAATTCAGGCCAGGCTTAAATATCAAATTTTTGGTTTTCTGAGATGGATATTTAATGTCCATCTGGTATAATCAGTTTTAACATAATGCTTTTTTTAAAAAACTGCTATAGTAGGTGGGGTGTGGTAGCTCAAGGCCTATAATCACACCTGTAATCCCAGCACTTTGGGAGGCTGAGGCAGGTGGATCACTTAAGCTCTAGGAGTTAGAGACCAGCCTGGGCAACATGGCAAAACCCCCTGTCTACAAAAAAATACAAAAATTAGCCAAGCATGGAGGCATACAGCTGTAGTTCCAGCAACTCAGGAGGCTGAAGAGACAGAGGTTGCAGTGAGCCGAGATCATCCCACTGCACTCCAGCCTAGGTAATAGAGCAAGACTCTGTCTCCAAACAAACAAACACCCCTGCTATAGTAGCCTGCTTTAAGAAATTCTCAATTGACTTTCCATAGATCAGCTTTTTATTTTGACTTTTTATAGATTTCTCTTTATTATCATTGTAGGGTGGGATAGAAAAAACATCTAACATACTGGCTTAAATTTCCATGTTTTAAAGCTTGATTTAAAAGTTACTCCTTTCCTATTAACTGAATTGTAAAGGTTAGAAACATGAACTTTTAAAAAGAAGCATTTTTTTTTCAACTGGTAAAATTAAGATATCTTTACTGTAATTACTAACAGAGTTAAATGTGTATCATCAAAAACATTTTATAATTACCAAAATATTCTGATCACACAAAGCTTTTACAAGACACATATTTACCTCAACTCTTCACAGTATTTAAACAATGTCCCACAGAGTTAAGTAATAAACTTCTAGCTATCTTACATACCACAAATAAATGCTGCCAGTGAAATGCAATTCTAATCACCTAGAAAATGTTCACCACACACAGGACATTCAGTATTCCAATTATGGAATGGACTTGAAATTTATGGATACATTTTTATTACCACCTCACCAGTACTCCACCTTCACTCACCCCTACTCTATACACAGCTTTGTCATTAAACTAGGATTTAACAAAACTTATTAAAATAATATTAATTTAATAAATGCTAACTTATAAAGTCTCAAAATATTTTCAACCAATGTGTTTCAGGGCTGATTACATAATTTTGAAAACCACAAAACATATATTAAGTGGTTTAGGAGTAGCATAACTTTACTTTTATTTTATTTTTATTTTTTGAGGTGGAGTCTTGCCCTATCACCCAGGCTGAAGTGTAGTGATGCCATCTTGGCTCACTGCAACCTCTGCCTCCCAGGTTCAAGTCTCCCAAGTAGCTGGGATTACAGGCATGTGCCACCACACCCAGTTAATTATTGTATTTGTACTAGAGACAGGGTTTCACCATGTTGGCCAGGCTGGTCTTGAACTCCTGACCTCAAGTGATCCACCTGCCTCGGCCTCCCAAAGTGCTGGGATTACAGGCGTGAGCCCCTGTGCCCGGCCAGGAGTAGCATAACTTTAAAAAATAAAAATAAAAATTTCATAAGCAGCCAACAACAGAAAAAAATAATTCTATTACAGCTTACTTTACTATGAAATCAACATAGTTTTTATTTGTAGAGGAATATGGTCTAACTGGATTACTCAATAGAAGAAATTCAGAAAATAATATTTTATTTTTAAAACAGAAAAACAAAATAAAAAGTGTTTTAAAGGCAAAGTATTTAAAAGATATTTTTCTTGCTTAGCTGTATTTTCTGGAAAATGGAGACCCTTCTCAACTGGGAGATATAAAGTAATTCCCACCAAAATTTAGAACTCAAAGAAAAGCATCCATAAGTTACACTTCAGAGTGAATTTTTAAAAATACACATGCAGGCAAAGATAACTGAGCAGTACTTAGCTTCTTAATTTTCTGCAACAGTAGATCCTTTATATTTACATACAATTCAATATTTCAAGAGAACATGAAACCAGAACATAAGATGTATTTGATTTGAACTCAAACTGGCAAAAAAAAGTTAGGAAAGGTTCAGATGAAACATTTTCAACTTTTTAAAAAACATGTATACTCGCAAAGATTGTTAAATTATAAAATTTTCTACAGAACATCAATAAGATCAGTCATCTCATACTTAAAATGCAACAAATGTTAGACAATTAGAATGTGTTTAAACAGGCTGGGTAGGTTAGTGTTAGTACGGAATCATTTCTTAGATGTACAGTCCAAACATTCATATATAACAGCGTAACACAGGACAATCTGATCTGCTTCTTTCTATGTGCAAAACAAGACACAGTTTTTTTTTCTATTTTGAAATTCTAGTTACCTAAATATACAGTAGTTGGATAAATAGCTAATTGATTTACACATACCTCTAAACTGTAACTCTCTATAGTATGAACTGCTCCCCCAACTTCCCTGCACAGTACAATTGAATAGTAGTACGACAATTTGAACAATCACCAGTTGTACAATTTTAATGTTATATTAATATATGTAGACTAAAAGTTATTACGCAAATTATTATTTCCAGTCTTATTCATTGATCTACAGCTTCCATCAACTGAAATTATAGAGAAGTCTTCACTGTTTTAATTAAAGATTTTGTACAGGCATGAGAATACCACTAATTTTTATTGTGACTTTAAGTCTGTAACATTTACTGTAGTAAAGAGTCAATTACAGTTTCAGGCTTTGCAGAACGCTTTCTGTTTGGAGAAGAAAAAAAGCAAGCATGAATGCTTTCCTAAAAGACTGAAATGCAAACATTTTACATTATATAGAAAATATGGGGTGGCCTATATAGAGTCTGGAAACAAGCCAAAATTTGACACGTTTGACCATGGTAAGTGTTCAACTGATGCTCACCTTTTCAGGCTACAGGAAGTTGACTTAGAGTAAATGCAAGAGGATGGCAGCCCACCCCATTATGCCAGATAGTGAGGGACAGGACAGGTGATAATTTCCAAGACTGGACTAGGTCATGTGGCCAGGCCAAGTGAGCTGCATGCTTGCCAGATTTGAACCCCCTGATTATCTCTTCTGAGGTACTCGAAAAGGTACAAGTGCATTCAGAGGAAATCCGAAACAAATCATCTCAGGCAACACCTCACAGATGCGTATGTAGGGATTTACAGAAATGCTACATTAATGTATTATATTTATTGCAATTTTGACCAACCCATCTAACTATGTGTTTCTAATGAGGAACACCATATTGAACATATCATTTAATGTAATATAACATCAATAAACCATTTAATGCATGTATTCATCCATGTTTATGGCTATCATTTTCTTAGGGTTTCCATGGTTATAGCAGGCCAATTCTAGTAAACAGAGATGGTGAGTTTGGCTCATATAATATTGGGCCACACGATTTTTTTAATGTTAAACTAAAAAAATGACATATCTTAAAATGGGTGTTCTGGAAAATGTATTCAAATGTCTTATCATATTATTTATTCGTTTGCTTTAGGGTCCATACAGTTTTAAAAAAAAACAAACAGTAACTAAAACTGAGAGATCTCAAGTAAATAATTCCAATTTCTGGCTCTTCCTTAGAAGAGAGAAGATCCAGGCCAGGCACGGCGGCTCATGCCTGTAATCCTAACACTTTGGGAGGCTGAGGTGGGCAGATCACCTGAAGTCAGGGGTTCAAGACCAGCCTGGCCAACATGGCAAAACCCCATCTCTAGTAAAAATACTGAAATTAGCCGGGTGCAGTGGCAGGTGCCAGTAATCCCAGCTACTCAGGGCACTCCAGCCTGGGCAACAGAGTGAGACTCCATCTCAAAAAAAAAAAAAAGAAAAGAGAAGATCCAGAAACAATGAGCCCTCTATTTCCATAGATAACTAGGAAGAGAATAGCAGCCACTCACTTTAGACAGGACTGCTCACCACTGCCAATTTTTCTCCTACGCTGAGGACAAATGTCTTACCGATTATCATCACACTTGCATTGTCATTTTATTAAAAATGGAAAAGTAAAAGATACATCTAAAGGGACTCGTGTTTCTTAGAAATGATTTGCTTCACTCATAATATGCACGGCATGTGTTGGTATAGGAAAGTTTTTAACCCCTCACCTAAATGCTACAGAATGTAAAAATTTGTACATTTTTAATATTCAACTGTTTGCCCAACCCTGAGTTCAACCTTCCCAAATTTGTAAGTGTGAAGTCATGTCTATGAGATTATGTAACACAAAAATATCAAAACCATACAACTTCATCCCACATGTAACTTGAAAGTCCATGCACTCAAAGTAGGGAACAAAGCAGCTTATTATTTTCTACATTTCAGGAGCCCCAGAGTCTTAAAATCAGTTTAAATAAACTGAACAGTCCTTGATGTAGGAAAGGGAAAGGAAAAAATAAGCTCCAGCCCAGGACTCCCATATCCCGATTTCCCTGAGCTTATGTGATGATACATGCAGACTACCCAACAGTCAAAACCAGTGCCCAAAGGAGAGGGGAAAATGTCCAAGGAAGTTCTCCTTAGCTGGTGACTGAGGAAATCAAGGTTCTTGGGGTACTGTGACAGAAAAACTAACCAGCTGAATACAATACCTTGGGAGACCAAACAGGCAAATTAATTAGCATTTCATAAGAAGAATTAGTCTAAGAATTATGGAATTAAACCCATTATACATTTTGGAAATAACAGAGTGAATTAAAAATAAATTCTATTACTCAGGAGCCTAAGAAGTTGGAAGACCTTAATTCTTTGGCTAGATTTTATTTACTCAAATTCTAATACACAAGGAATTTGATTTTTTTTTTTTGAGACCAAGTCTTGCTCTGCCACCCAGGCTGAAATTCAGTGGCATGATCTTGGCTAACTACAACCTAGGTTCAAGTGATTCTCCTGCCTCAGCCTTCCAAGTAGCTGGGATTACAGGCACGAGCCACCATGCCTGGTTAATTTTTGTATTTTTAGTAGAGACGGGGGTTTCACCATGTTAGCCAGGCTAGTCTCAAACTCCTGATCTCAAATGATCTGCCTGCCTCGGCCTCTCAAAGTGCTGGGATTACAGGTGTGAGCCACCGCACCTGGCCAGGAATTTGATTTTTAATAAATCAGCTAAAATATGTATTATATTTTAACTAAATAAATGTTAACTTCCTGTACATGTATCTAATTAGAATACCTCAATGCCTTCATTACATCAGATTCAAGGACAGTCCTTACCTTCTCCCTGTCTTTGGCCTTGCTTTCCCCTTTGAAGTTCGTGGTCTTTCTAGTTTCATCAAAGACTGACGCAGACTCTCCTCAGTATAGGCAAGATACACATGAGAAAGGTCCACTTCAAAGGGCTAAAAGAAACAAACACAAAGCACTCTTAAGGGAAAGAGTTAAGCCAGATTTGGGGGAAGATTTAAAATACTGAATAAACTCCTCAAAAAAACCTGCAGAAACTAAAACCAAAGAAACGTCTAACGACATCATCTTCTAATCCCAGTATCTAAAACGTACTCACCAAAGGTTGGTGAGTAAGAAGCCCTGACACACTATAAATTTCCTTCCACACAAAGAAAAACTGCTGCTGTTTTTCTTAAAGCTGCTCCCTCTTCTTTTTTTTGAGACGGAGTCTCGCTCTGTCCCCCAGGCTGGAGTGCAGTGGCGCAATCTCAGCTCACTGCAAGCTCCGACTTCCAGGTTCACGCCATTCTCCTTCCTCAGCTTCCAGAGTAGCTGGGACTACAGGCGCCCGCCACCGTGCTCGGCTAATTTTTTTTGTATTTTTTTAGTAGAGATGGGGTTTCACCGTGTTAGCCAGGATGGTCTTGATCTCCTGACCTCGTGATCCACCCGCCTCCGTCTCCCAAAGTGCTGGGATTACAGGTGTGAGCCACCGCGCCCAGCCTGCTCCCTCCTCTTCTTGACCTATGACTAGAACTAGCTTTGAAGAGAAAGAAAGACACGTTCTAATCTCTACCCATAAGCCTACAACCCAGAGTGGTAGTGAAAACAGGACTCTAAAGAATGACTCCATGCCATCTTACGGTGGGAATAAGCCTGACATCAAGACTGATGGTAAGCAGAACGGTCCTCCTCATCACCCCATCCTAGAGCCTTTATTCCCAAAAGATCAGCCCGTTTCTCAGCACAGCTGATTAGCAGATATCAGGTTGATAACACAATTTAATGACTCATATTCCTATAAAGAAACAACTGTAGTTTTGTGTTTTTTAAAGAAGTACTCTTACATCTTTCTCCTTTTTATCAGGTACTGGGGTTTGCTTCCTCATGTTATTTCCTGTATAGGCAACACATTTCTCAAAAAAAGAAACAGGGGAGAGAGAGAAATGTCTTAATTAGTAATCAATACTGTGAGTGAGGCAACTAACTGAGAAATCCTAATATTACACTAGTAAAACATGATTTGAATGCTGGAGCAGAAAGGGCCCCAGAGGTCACTTAGTCCCACATAGCCCCTGACCCTGACCATTTCCACCCAGACCATGATCTGTATGTTACAATTAATTACACAGAATTAGAAAAATATTTTATCTGCCCTACTGGATTCTCATCTGATTCATCCACTGGACCACGTTCCTCCCCGTTGTAGCCAGCACAATATCTAGACCACAGGAAGTACTCTCATGAAAGAATTAAGGTAATACTCACTAGCTGCCATTCTCCTATGTCTTCATTCCAATGGACATAGTTTTCAATCATTTCCTTTTAAAAGGATGAAAGAGAGTCTATTTTTAATATTTAATAACATTTAAAATATTGAAGTCATACAACTAAAATCTTAATAACATTGAGTAATAAAAGTCTCAAAACATTATATACTGACACAACCTTTTTATAAATTCTAAAATATATATTTCTTAGGAGTGGATGTAGATGCAATAAAACTAAATAAAAATGAAAAAACAACAGAATGAGAAACTCAGGAATCAAGATAATGATTACCTTGGGTTGGAAGAGGCAAAGGAATGAAATAAGGGAAGGGGAAACTGTTTGGTTAGAAGTAGGTTATTACCAGGGTCCTAGCTTTTGTTTTGGGTGATGAGTTCATTACAAAAATAACTAACTAAAAGCAGGCCATCCTAGGACCAATAAGGAGAATGTATCATGAACCCAGGATTAATTCCATGTACCTGTGGTCCAAAAAAAAAAAAAAAAAGACTAAGACTTATTTTCAGACAAATTTCTTAAAGTTGTATTGAGATTCAAAACAGATTTTTTAAAAAATTGGCCAGGCATGGTGGCTCACACCTAGTAACCCCAGCACTTTGGGAAGCCAAAACAAGCAGATCACCTGAGCTCAGGAATTCAAGACCAGCTTGGCCAACATGGCTAAACCCCAGCTCTACTAAATATACAAAAATTAGCTGGGTGTGGTGGTGCACACCTGTAATCCCAGCTACTCAGGAGGCTGAGGCATGAGAATCGCTTGAACCCTGAAGGCAAAGGTTGCAGTGAGCCAAGATCGCACCACTGTACTCCAGCCTAGGCAACAGGGTGACTCTCCCTCCCTTACAAAAAAAAAAAATCATAATGTTAAAGTTTACCAAAATGTACTGGAAAGACAAATTTTGGATTAAAAAAAATAGAGGCTGAGATTTTAAAATTATACTAGTACTAAGAGTTAGCATCCATCTGGAGACGAATGATGGTGCAGGTTGCACAACAATGTGAATGTCCTAAATGCCATTGAACTGCACACTTAAAATAGCTAAGATGGTAAATTTCATGCTATCTACATTTTACCACATACACACACACACAAAAGAATCAGCATCCACAGCAGGGAGAAAAAGGTAGCACAGGGGTTCCATTTATTCTACTTGTACGATACTGGGCGCTGAATGTAGGAATGGGACCCACACCTTGATTCTGATTGCATATACATGAATCTGAGTTCATCTAAAAGGTTAAAAAATTCTCATTGAGGCCGGGCGCGGTGGCTCAAGCCTGTAATCCTAGCACTTTGGGAGGCCGAGACGGGCGGATCACGAGGTCAGGAGATCGAGACCATCCTGGCTAACATGGTGAAACCCCGCCTCTACTAAAAAATACAAAAAACTAGCCAGGTGAGGTGGTGGGCGCCTGTAGTCCCAGCTACTCGGGAGGCTGAGGCAGGAGAATGGCGTAAACCCGGGAGGCGGAGCTTGCAGTAAGCTGAGATCCGGCCACTGCACTCCAGCCTGGGCGACAGAGCAAGACTCCGTCTCAAAAAAAAAAAAAAAAAAAAAAAATCTCATTGAGATCCTCAGATACTCAAACACAGATTACGTATTAAGAAAAGTTAACAACTAAAGTGAAAAGTGATGGCATTTGTTCAAAATACTGTACATTCAATAACTGAAGTATTAAGCATTTACCATCAATTAAATTAGAAATCCTTGTTCCTTAACCCCAGTCAAGTGACTATCTGGGTCAGAGAACTTCCTTTTTACCTGATAATCCCGAGGTATAAAGTTATCAATAATAAGCATCTGAAGTCGAAGCTCCCGGCTAAGTTGCCGAATATTCTCCAGTAGGCCTTCAATTTCCCTCTGATGTTCTTGTTGAAGATCAGCCATCTACCAGAAAATCCATAAAAATATTATGAACATACAGGACTTTAACTACAAAACAGCACCATCTCACATAGGACGCTTGTCTAAGAGACCTTGTGAGAGCATACCTAGTTCTTTTATAAAAATGATAAACAGCGTGACACTATCAGTATCTATTCTACACTATTCATTAAGGTTGAAAAGAAACAACTTAGCCTAATAGATAAAATTAAAAATTGCACATAAAGGACAAATATTTTATTTCTTTTAAATTATAAGCTCACATTATGATTACTTATAAATTCTTAATCAAACAACTTCTTTTTCAAAAATTCAGAACTGCATTAGTAGGTAATTTCTAAGAGAACCAACCTCTGATTTTGCAGCCATCAGCATAGTCCAAACTTTCTTTAACTTCTTGGTCTTTCCCTGTGCTTCCTCTTGCAAGCTGGTATATTTTTCTTCAATATCCAAGCGTTCTTGCTATGACAAAAATTAGTAAACTTCAGAATTTTCTTTGTAAAATCAAATATCTAATTCTTTAACAAATGACATAAATGATCTTAGCAACTCTGATCTTCAAAGAAATCCATAAATATGCTTTAAAATTTCAATACGATTATAGATATTTAGCTTTCCACTAGAAAAGTTAAATCTCTCCGGCAAAATACCAAACTAAAAACAGAAAGTCACATTACCTCTTTTTCCTCAAGTTCTCTGCGAAGTTGCTCTGCTCTTTTCCTCCTTTCTTCCAGTTCCATGTTAGATTCTTCAAGAAGTTTCTCTTGTTCCTCAGCTTTGGCCAACAAATCAACCCCACCAACAATTACCTTCTTTTCCAGGGCAGATAATTTTTCCAGCAAAGACTGATGCTCTTGTCTGTTGATTAGAATGAGGATACTCTATATTCACTGATCATCTATTATTCTACTATCATTTCCCAAAATTTAACAAAAATTTGGATATACAATTTCAAAATACAAATATAATTATGTAACATCTCTACCAAGTTATACCACTGTGTAGTATCGATTTCTCATTTAATCTGTAACTCATTCTAATTCATTGATATGTTCTCCTATCATGCGGAAATAATCAAAACAGATCTAGTTTTTAGAAATACACTATATACAATAGACCCTTCTATCCAAAAATAGTTAAACTGGAGACAAAAATCAAGCTTTTAATTACTATTCAATTTTCCTATTTTATATATCCTATGAAAAAACAGAAATTTAAATCATGAATTCATCTCAATTCAATAATACTCACTGGGCTTTAAGAAGATCTTTTTCTCGTTTCTCTAATTCAGCTCTAGCCTTGTTTCTTTCTTCTTCTTCCATGTCGAGCTTTGTTTCAAGTGCTTTTCTCTCCTCATCAATTTTTGCTTGCATTTCAATCATCTTGTCTGGGGATACTTTCTTTTTTCCTATTTGAATCATTTAATTGCAACAATCACTAAAATGAGTCAATGTTTCAGACTTATATAAATTACCTCCTTCAATGTAGAAATGCCTACACTCCTCAATAATACAAAACCAATTATCAATATTTTAAGGAAATCAAACCAATAATACCACGCATTTCCATTTATTATGTTCCTAGAAGAACTTTATAACTCATTGCTAAATTCAAACTGTTGTCCAATTTTACAGTGATAACTAAGAACAAAAGTGAAAGAGAAGCAAAATAGATGAGCTAATAGGAAAAGAAAGATTAACAGAAAAGCCAAATTAAAAAAAAAATTTATGTCCCCAGATAACAAATACATGTTTAAAAAAAAGCAACATGATTCTTCAGTTACTTTTTCTTGATAACCAAGTACAAAATCAAGTGACTCCTTAAAATATCTTTCCCAATTTCACATAAAACAAGTGAATAAAAGTCATATATAGGTATAAAACGCACAGATAAAAATATCAAGCAGAATTTATATCAAGTAGTTTTAACATATTTTTCAGAGTTTTTCTAAAATTTTTGTTAAATAACATTAAAGTATTTAATTTCACAGCATACTTTCAAAGGAAAAAATTCTATGCTATGTAATTATGTAACAGTTACATACACAGTAATTAACCAAGCATTTCACTCCTCAGCTGAGCTGTCAAGATATATCATCATACACTAAAGGAACAACTAAAATAGCTTGCTATTATGTCAAACTCAGGACTCGAAGGCTCCCTAAGTCAGAGTAACCATGCCAAGTGTCAAATATAAGTAGAAATGCTACCAAATAATAAAGCTGGAATACGGTTTCCAACTGATTATTTTTGCTAATAATGTCTAATAAAGTATTTTACATACATGTAACAGGTGCTCAAAGAAACTTTATTAATGAATTTCAAAATCATAAAATCCAAATAAAACAAGAGAAAATAAAACTAGCTTATTAAACTGGTTATGAAACTGAATCAAAGACAATTCATTTCTGGTCATACAGTTTCTTAGAAACATACATTCCTTCAGAAAACCAGTAAAATTTTTCATAGAATTGGTCTGAGGCTCTCCTAGAACCTTTCTGTCATTCTTAACTTCCTTCCCAAAGAACTACAGAAGAAGAGTGTAAATCATAAGAGTTTATAAATTGTTAATGTCTCCACCCAAAAGCTAACCCCCCACCACCTAACAAGGTAAAAGAACTGAAAAACAATTATGATGGAGATACATAACTGAGTATATTCTTTCAGGAACTATGAAATGAAGAATCATTAATAGGCTTTAACTCTTCAGGACAAAATTATGTAAAAAACTCAAGGGTTTAAAATACATCACTTCTATAGAACTGTAAGTCCAAAGCAAACCTAAGGCACGAGACAAATGAAACAAAAGAGTAAATAAAAGCACTGATCCAAATTCATGCTTTGGTGTGGTGTGATTAATTGCATTCCAAAAGTCAGGATGTAGACTGATTCTATTTACTGGCTTGTTTGGCACAGTCATCTGTATTGAGTCTTACCAATTAGCTAGTAAAAAATAACTTTAAAATAATTTAACTACTATTCCCATAGTACTTCCCATTAGTTATACTATGTCTTAGAAATTTGAAGCTACAAAGTATCAGTTCAGGTATATAGTAAATATACACATTCAAAAAAGTGTAACTTGCTTTCCACCTCAGAATTATAAGTATTTAAAGACAAAATGGGACATATGTTAAGATAAAAATAATAAATGCATGAAGACAGTGATGCTAACAGTATAGAGGAAATGATCTAATCAACATATGAACAGTAGTATGCACAGGCTTCAAGGGTCCTAATTGTTTTAATAGTTAAAAACAGTTTCAAAATCCATTAAGAAGCAGTAAAATAAAAAGATTTTTTTAATAAAAAGATTTTATATGTAGAAATACAAAGACACATAACTGTTCATGAATTAATACATTACATTAGTAATTTAAAACTTTTCAGGTATGTTTCCAAACTGATACTTTAGTAGCAAAAGTCTTATTGTGGTCTTGTAACACTTTCATGAAGACAATCAAAGAGATATAGCCAGGGTTAGTTTCAAAAGCCTAATATTTAAGTAACATATTACTTTAGCCAGAATCACTCTGATAAATCATTATATTTCTTCACAAATAATATTTTAAGCTAAATGTAAATATGTACTAACTCTCCTAACCAGGTATTTAAAAATGTGACATCACTAAAAGTCACTTTTACATGTAATTTTTAAAAGACTTTTTTTTTTTAAAAAAAAAAAAACCTTATTAAACAAACCAAACAAAAAAGAAATCTATTTCTAACAATGCATGATAAAAATTCAGCACAAAATTTCAGGCAAATAAATATTTTTAAAAGTTAATGCCATAAACAGTATTTAATTAAACCAGACATAAGTAGCAACATTTTTTATTGCCCTTTGCCATGTGCTTTAATATTGTGAAGGTAAACTGGCCAGGGTAAGTTAAAGGGGAAGAACTTCAGGGCAGTCCTAACTGAATCATTTTTATTACATAAGCACCCACGGCATAACCAGGCATCTGATTCTTGGCTTTTTAAAAAAAGGAGAAAAATGTTTGAATGTGAAATAATTTACACTTGTATTTCCAAAATTTGGCTTAATGGGTGTTTAAGAATTTAGGGAAAAAAATGAAGTTATTTTTAAAAGCTAAAGTTGAAAGATTGTTAAAAATACAAAAGATAGACACTTACCTGGCAAAAAAAAAGGTATTAAATTTTAAAAATTTAATGTATTTAAATAACATAGTTCTTTATAGGATAAATAATTGTACCATGTGGAGTGCAAATCAATCACACCAACCTGCTTGATCTTGCAATAAGAAGAAGTAAGCAAATCGCAGACAGGAAGCATATGCACAGAGATGAGGAGGAAAAAAAGGAAAACATTATTTCTCTTGTAAAACAAAGAAAAATACATAATAGCATTCATTTAAGTGTGGAAGTAAAAATCAAATCGTTATCAAAACTGAAATAGAGCCCATGTAAAAAGAAAGCATATTCAACACAATGAGAGATGTCATTTAAGGAAGAATATTAAAGTTAACTTAGTCTTAGATTATAACTCAGGCCAATCTCAAGAGCTCACACTGATTCCCCAAGTCCTGCAAAGGTCACAGTTCAACATCATGTGGTTATGCTAACAGTAGACATGAAATTAGGAACCTGCTAAGATCTGGGAAGTAATCTAAAAGAGCAAAACAGAAAATTAAGCCAATTTTAACAACTAGTATGTTTAAAGTGACAAAATTCACACTGTCCATATCAAAAATGTCCCAATTCAATATTTCTTTTTGTATATGGATCTACTACAGGCATGCTTCACTTTAAGAAAATCTAACACAAAAACCTGAACCAAACAGATAAATTAGATTACAGTAATTTCCCGATTATTTGATCAACAGAAAGGTCTAATGAAGAATTTTTAAAGACAGCAAGTTCTCCCAATACATCCGATTTCCCAACCGGATTAAGGGCTTTTTTTTTTTTTTTTCCCAGAAAATAAAATTATTACATAAAATGAAGTATACCTGTACAGTAACAAACTTACATTCCTTCTATTAGTAGACTGTTAAGGGTAATTATAAACAATGATTCTATAGGAGTCGGTGTCAATGATTCAAGCAAGAAACACCTTTTACAAAGGCCATTCAGATATTTAAAAGGGAGGGTACACACAATTTACACACAGCAACCACATGCTAGGACAACCATCTCTGCACTTTACCAACACGCCCACATTACAACAAAAAAATTCTGTGCTAGATATGCAAATAGGAATTAAAACTTCTTGAACAAAGTACAACTCATTTCATAACATACTTTCATATAACTACTCTTTAATAATTAAGTTTTAAAACAGAAAACTAAATTGCAATGCCTCCCACTCAAATATTTTCTCATATTTCACAGTTTATTATACAAAGTAATACCTCTATGTGGTTTCTAATGCAATTCCAAGTATTTTACAAATTATCCTTTGAAATGAATTGTTTTGGTAACTTGCCTACGAACTGTCAATAGAGAAAGAAATTTCTAATATTCTTGGAATTCTTCTTCTAGAAAGCTAAAAGCATAAGAACAACAAGCAATTATTTTTGTCATTCGTTTTGAAAGGGTAAGTATATAGATAATGCTTTAAAAGACAGTAAGCTGCAGGCTGGTACAAGAAAGCAACACTACTCCCCTTTCTTCTGAAAATAAAATATAAATAAATTAAGTAACACTTTTCAATTTAATTAAACTAGGTTTTAACAAAAGCCTTTAAGTTTGAAATAAGTCTAGATGGATCCTGCACAAACTTCTCGTGATTCTGCATTCGCAAATCATACCTTAGAAAATTTCTTAAAATCAGCTGGGCGCGGTGGCTCACGCCTGTAATCCCAGTACTTTGGGAGGCCGAGGCGGGCAAATCACGAGGTCAGGAGGTCGAGACCATCCTGGCTAACACGGTGAAACCCCATCTCTACTAAAAATACAAAAAGGAGCCGGGTGTGGTGGCAGGTGCCTGTGGTCCTAGCTACTTGGGAGGCTGAGGCAGGAGAATTGTGTGAACCCGGGAGGCAGAGCTTACAGTGAGCAAAGACTGCGTCACTGCACTCCAGCCTGGGCAACAGAGGGAGACTCTGTCTCAAAAAAAAAAAATTTTTCTTAAAATTTATCAGGTAATTTAGAAATATGGATAAATGTCCGTTTGAAAAAAAATGCTATTCAATTCATTTTTACTTGCTTCAAGCTTTACGTTTTTCTTTATTTGGGAGCCTTTAATCTTAAGCTACCAATAAGAATAGGACACCAAAGTGTAAAAACTTGCAACTTTACGACATGTTATAATGGGCATTGGTGTACTTCAAATATAATTTGTACTTTTAGATATATAAGATTTGATGTTACGTGTCCATTATTCTGAGCAGGATTAGAAATGTGTCATGAAACCTAAAAAAGAACCATAAGAATTATTCTTTTATACAGCTTACTAGCTCTCTTTACATTATCTCAATTGCAAAAGCATGAATCTCTCTTCCATTGTCTCAAACATAAGCTAAAGCATATGTTTTAACAATTATGATTAACTGGAAGCAATGAAAGGGGGAGGAGGAATCATCACATGCTTTGTTCTACTGAGGAATTCAACTTGTATTCTTTAGGTAATGACAGGGAGTGGTGCACCAGCATTGCTCAAATGAAGCCCATGGGTTATGGAAAAGCCAAAGCTCTGTTAGAGAATGTAAGAGCTACCACTCACTAGGCAAGAACTTATCCAGAGGTTTCTCTATGACAGAACATGTGGAGTCTGAACTACTGCTGCTGCTACTGCCTGGAAAACAAAGAAATGAGCCCAACGGGAACCAAAGAAAGAGGAAACAAGAAAATGAACACATACACAGAGAAAAATTCAGTTTTGAGAAAAAAATTTTAAAGGACAATCAAGCTCTGTATTAAAGAACCAAAATTTACTTTCCTAAAAAACCAGTCTTGGTAGTTTATCTAATATTCTCTACTTTACAAAGCCATACAGAGGAATTAGAAAGTGTACTGCTTTAAGCAACTACTGTGGGCAAATTCTACTGGTCACCTAAAGCCTAACCATTCAAAGGGTTGAAATGAGAAGAATAAAAAATAAAGAGGTCATTTGGTGAGATTTTAGTCTACTGAAACTATTTAGGTTGATAAGCTAAAGGAATGGAGTTTTAAAACTTAAAGCCATATGTAATATTATAGGAGTGATATATTACCCTTCATAATAGGTTAGTCTGTCTCCACTTTCAGTCTCTCCCCACCAAAATATCAAACTATCAAATATGTTTAAGGTTGGATAGCAAAACTTTCAAAAGGCTCATTGAAAATTTTTTAATTTCTAAGCCTGGAAGGAAGATATATTACTGTTAAATATTTTAACATATTAAACAGTGGCATTTTTCTATTTAATTTTATTTTTAACAAATCTGTTATCAGCTTCTGCTGTGAAAGTAATAATCTACTCTGTGAAAAACTAGGTGTGAACAAAAAAAAATTTCTCTAAGTCAGGCAAACATTTTCTGCAAAAGGACAGATAAGCGTTTGAGACTTTACAGGCCATACAGCTTCATGTGAAAGCAGCCATAGAGCGTAGGTAAATAAATGAGCATGGCTGTTTCAATAAAATTTTATTTACAAAAACAGGTGGTCAGCTGGATTTCGCCAGCAGATAATTTGCCAATTTTTGCTATAAAACATTATTTTTCTGTCTTTTGAAGTTACAAAATCTTTACATAGTTTTTAAATTTGGGACTTCTAATTAAGCAGTGATGGGTTTATTTTCAGCACGATCATTTTAATAAGACAGACAAAATATGCACCAGCTTGAAAACAATGACCACATTAATGGAAGAGAGTTCTGAAATAAATATTTATGATAAAAAGGTTTGAAATGTAGGCCATTATAATATGTCCATTTCATTTGCATATTATCTATATTCTTATCATAATAGTCTTAATTCACACTTGGCAACAAATCCCCCAACAAGGTGAGAATGAGAATACATTTTATAAAGAAAAAGAACTAAATTTAAAAATGGAATTATTCATACAAATTTACTATTTAAAAATTCAATGACTTTTAAAGACTAATCTTGTTTGCAGAAAAACTCCACATTATCCTAATTTCCTTAAAAAACTTAGGTTCCAGCCAGGCATGGTGGCTCACGCCTGTAATCCCAGCACTTTGGGAGGCTGAGACAGACAGATCATGAGGTCAGGAGATCAAGACCAGCCTGGCTAACACGGTGAAACCCTGTCTTTACTAAAAATACAAAAAATTAGCCGGGCGTGGTGGCACGCGCCTGTAGTCCCAGCTACTCGGGAGGCTGAGGCAGGAGAATCACTTGAACCCAGGAGGTGGAGGTTGCAGTGAGCCGAGATCACACCACTGCACTCCAGCCTGGGCGACAGTATAAGACTCTGTCTCAAAACAAACAAAAAAACTTAGGTTCCTAACACAGATATAAGTCCCTACATAAAATTAAAACCCACAGGAAATTTTAAAACAGCATACCCACTATTATAGAGTCTTAAAATTCTAAATTCTAAAAAACAGAACATATATTCAAAGTCAGCTATAAACGGATCAATACAGGAGAATAAATGCAAAGTTAACCAGGTAAATGGCATACACCTTCTAATTGTTATAACAACAACTAGATAATTGTTATCTAATATATTAAACAGATAACGGCAAAATAAAAGTCATGCACTCTACCACCTTGTGAAACCACCTAATTTCTACAAATTAGAATACTAATCAGAACTTACCCCTTCTTTTTTTCCTTTTCTCTCCATCTTCTCCAACCTCACCTTCTTCTTCATCATCTTCCTCTGAGCCACTGATATCAGAGCCTGATATTTCTTCTCCTTGGACAGAAATTTAATAGGATGTTTTTTATCCTGTACCAAGTCATTAGCTATTTAGGCAATACCTATATCAACTTTCTTCCTTAGGTTTTTGTTACTGCAAACAACAAATTTAAATACTATTTAAATGCTCCTAGAGAGTATAACAGATATGCCAATCTCAGACATAGATAAGATGTACAAAAAGACTTTATTTTTAAAGTCTCTAAAGAGAAATTAAATTCTGACCCAATTAAAATTTCAAATCATTCTGGCTAGGCAAGGTGGCACACGCCTGTAATCCCAGCACTTTAGGAAGCTGAGGCAGGCAGATCACTTGAGGCCAAGAGTTTGAGACCAGCCTAGTCAACATGGCAAAACCCCATCTCTACTAAAAATACAAAAATTAGCTGGGCGTGGTGGTGCGCACCTGTAATCCCAGCTACTTGGGAGGCTGCGGCAGGAGAATCACTTGAACCTGGGAGGCAGAGGTTTCAGTGAGCCAAGATGGCGCCACTGCACTCCAGCCTCGACAACAGAGTGAGACTCTGCCTCAAAAAAAAATACATAAAAATATTCAAATCATTTAGTTATGTATAATTTTAAACACATACACAAATTATGTGATAGAGTTACTAATTCAGTCTTTAAAAATGTGATCACTTTTGAGGAACAATTTCTTCTAAAACAGCTTCCTGCTTAAGATTTCAAGAAAATCACTTAATCTGTATTTTTAAGAGACACAGAACTGTCACGTAGCAGTGATCCCACTATTAGGACTGTATCACAAGATATTTTCAAAAACAGAAATGCTTATTTGCACAAAGATAGTGCTAACTACACATTAACTTAAAGATAAAAAACAATAAAAAAGGAATGATTAAGCCAAGAGAACAGATCAGCACTGTATCATCTTCACATTAGCTATTTTTAAATGCCACTGTTTACATATGAAATGTCTAACAAAATAAAAGAGGAGAAAAAAGTAAAATATACCCTAATCACAACCAGGTAATAATTGTACCTGTAAGTACAAGATGGAAAGGAACACAGAGTATTGGGAGGAGGAATCACTGAAAAATATTTTGTTCTCTGGGCTTAGAAACAATGATATCTTGATAGTAATGAGCATAGCTAATGCCCAAAACTGGGTTTCTAAACACCACTCTCCTACCAAAGGGACCAGAGAGAAGTGAATGATTTTAAGGCTGGGCAAGGAAGACACAAGATAAACCTTTTGTAGTGCCAAAAAGTAACCAAATGCTCAAAAACACTGAAGAGCACATGCTGAAAGAATACAGGAACTACTCTGAAGGATTTCCTAATAGCCAAAGCTGGGAAAATTCAAGAAACAAAATAAATAATGATAATACTGGATTATAATCCATGATCTAAATAAATACTTGAATAAATAAATAAATGGGAATGAAGGGGCTGCTCTTCCTCACAATAGAATCCTACACATTAACCAAGAAGAAATGATGAGAATAGAAAATAACATTGAGCAAATGCCACGGGATTATTGTTGCAGGTAAGAACTACTGATGAATACTAAAAATAGTAGGAGAAAGTATGACGAGAAACAGGACCTTTGCAGTCTCAAAGTATCCCCAATGAGATATTATTAATTACAAATGGAAAAATAAAACAATAGATTTGCAGTTGAGAAACTTTGCAGGGTCATTATAAAAGTAGACAAGCCCAAATTAATGAACATTCAACAAATATATGACCAGTACTCTTCAAAAATGTCAAGATCAAGAAAGACTGGGGAATTATAAAAGACTGAAGAACAAGTGTGCTAGACATCGTCATTAAGAAGGCATGACAGGGCCGGGCGTGGTGGCTCATGCCTGTAGTCCCAGCACTTTGAGAGGCCGAGGCGGGCAGATCATAAGGTCAGAAGATAAAGAACATCCTGGCAAATATGGTGAAACCCTGTCTGTACTAAAAATACAAAAATTAGCTGGGCATGGTGGCACGTGCCTGTACTCCCAGCTACTCGGGAGGCTGAGGCAGGAGAATCACTTGAACAGGGAGGCAGAGGTTGCAGTGAGCTGAGATTGTGCCACTGCATTCCAGCCTGGCGACAGACAAGACTCTGTCTCAAAAAAAAAAGAAAGAAAGAAAGAAAGAAATCATGTCAAATAAATGCAATGTGTGATCCTGGGTTGTATCCTGGACCAGGAAAAGAAAGGCACTGGAAGGAAAACTGGCCAAATTTGAATAAAGTCCACAGATTAGTTAATAAGACTGTATCGATGTAAACTTCCTGGTTTCAATAACTGTTGTATGCTTATATAAGATGTTAACATGAGGTGAAGCTGGGTAAAGGGTAGATAGGAACTCTCCATATCATGTTTGCAAGTTGTATTTAAGCCTAAAATAATTTTTAAGTTTAAAAATTATTCTTTTAATGCTATGCTTTTTTATTGTTGTTATTATCAGCTCCATTAACCGGATTATAAAAAGAAATGTCATAAGAGCAAAAATAAAGTGCAATGTATTAAAAACAGTATTATCATAGAATCCAGCAATTCCATTGCTGGGTACATACCCAAAAAATGGTAAAACAAGAATTTGAACAGGTATTTGTATACCCACGTTCATAGCAGCATTATTCACAATAGCCAGAAGGTGGAAGGAACCAACTGTCCATTGGTGGGTGAATGGATAACAAAATGAAGTATATACACAATGGAATATTATTCAGAATTAAAAAGAAGTCCTAATACATGCTACAACACAGATGACCCTTGAAGGCATTATACTAAATGAAATAAGTCAGTCACAAAAAGACAAATGCTGTGTGATTCCACTTTCTTTTTTTTTTTTTTTTTGAGATGGGAGTCTCACTCTGCCACCCAGGTTGGAATGCAGTGGCATGATCTCGGCTCATGGCCACCTCCACCTTCCAGGTTCAAGTGATGCTCCTGCTTCAGCCTCCCAAGTAGCTGAGATTACAGGCGAGAGCCACCATGCCCAGCTAATTTTTGCATCTTCAGTACAGATGGTGTTTCACCATGTTGGCCAGTCTGGTCTCAAACTCCTGACCTCAAGTGATCCACCCGCCCCGGCCTCCCAAAGTGCTGGGATTACAGGCGTGAGCCACTGCGCCCTGCTGATTCCACTTTCATAAGATACCCAGAGCAGTCAAATTCACAGACAAAGCAGAATGGTTGTTGGCCAGGACCTAGGGAAAGGGAGGAATGGGTAGATACTGTTTAACGAGTATAAAGTTTCAATTTTGCAAGAAGAAAACTGGAGACAGATAACTGCAGAACGATGTGAACATAACACCACAGAAACGTAGACTTCAATGTGGTTAAAATGGTAAACTTTATGTTGTGCAAGTTTTGCCACAATTTTTTAAAAAGGAAAAAATTCAGGCACTTGCTATAATATGGATGAACCTTCAACGTTCTGTTAAGTGAAATAAGCCAGTCACGAGAAGACACTCTATGATTTTACTTATATGAGGTACCTAGAATAGTCAAATTTATAGAGACAGAAAGTAGAACAGTGGTTACTAGAGACTAGAGGGAGAAGAGAATAGGAAGTTACTACTTAATGGGCACAGCGTTTCTGTTTGGGATGATGAAAAAGTTCTAGAAATGAAGAGTGGTGACAGTTGCACAACAATGTGAATATACTTGATGCCACTAACTGTACACTTAATTAACAATGGTTAAAATGATAAATTTTATGTTGTGTATATTTTACCACAACAAAAAAAATGTAAAACATAAAGTCAGCAAAATAAAAGTATGCACTCACCATTAACATCGCTAAGAAATTAAAAATCTTTAAAACATACTGGCTATAAATACCACCTAGTGGTCACATTTAAAATACCAAATTTCATTATCTAACAGTTCTCTTACTGCTTTTCCTCAATAACTGTACTTGTTTACTAAATAAGTACCTTCTCTAAACATTTGTGATGCTGGTGTCTCTGAATTTCACCTCTGATGTAGTCAGTCTCCTCACAGACTACAAAGGTGCTTTGAAACCAAAGCCCTCTGTTTACCTGGTTCGCAAAGGAGCTCTATACCTATCAGAAAGGATCTGTTTCTTGCATTAAGGTGCAAGGAATCACTGAGCACTTAATGCCTGGGAAGCATCTCACTCTCATAAATAAGATCTTCAAATTTTCCAACTTTCTAGCATCATGATGTTAGAAAAGAATTTCCAAAATAGAATCTCATGTTCAAATTTAGGTATGAAAGGATATTGTAAAGGTGACCTCATGCAATGCATTTTTCCTTATAGCAAACTTGGTTTACTCACGACTGTCTAACATCTTTCTTTACCTCAAACAATAGTGAGCTCATATTGACTGCAATGCCAGAATTCTGGTCATTTTCTCCTAAATACATACATGGCAGAATTTGCTCTTATACAGAGACAAATAAACATTCATTCTTTAACAAGTGGTCATATGAAATCTATAAAACATCATGGGAATGTTTAAAAACCACATACACAAATATTATGTAATTTTACTTAAGCTTAATATGAAAATGCAAAAGTATATAAGTACCAAGTCATTTTCCAGAAATATTCATTTAACTACCAATGTTAGAGGCTCAAAAAAGGTTTAATAGAGGAGGCTTTTGTTACAACACTTAGTGGTTCAACAACATATTTTTAGCCAATATAAAGATTAATATTTTGAGAAACAGTTACCTTCTTCAAGTTTCTTTTTTAGTTCTTCTATTTCTTTCTGGAACTGACGCAGCAAAGCATCCTTTGGATCTTCATTAATTCTAGCTTTATTTTTAATATTCTTAGCACGATTGGCATACCGTAATGTACTGATCGTTTCATCATAATTGTAATCTGCTGGCCCAATATTTGCACACTATTGAATTAGAAATATCAAACAAATCATTTTACACTTGACACAGTTAAAATTAACACTACCATTACAAATACGTCAAAAACTGTTTAAAGCACATATGCACCCTTGGCCTTCTTGAAAATGAGAGTGTCAACCACATGGGTTTCCAAACGACACTATTATGGGCTAATACACATGCGTGTACCACAGAAAGGACAACCACAAGTCAAAAAAAGGGAAAATAATCAAGTTTAAAAAATGTGATACATATCAATTATTGGCATAAATTAGAATCTTAAATTTGCCTGATGTTAACTATATCACCAATTAAGTCTTACCATCATGGTTTTTGAATTTCCTCCTAAGGAATCCTGAAGAAGACGAGTCAATTTAGAGTTACGATAAGGCACATGAGTGCTTTTTCCATCAACCAAGGCAGAAATTACATTACCAAGGGTGGAAAGTGAAAGATTGATTTTTGTAGCTTCCTTTAGGCGCTGTCCAGTAGCTCCAGTTTTTGCCTGCCTTTCTGAACCCTAGCAAAAACAGAGATGAAAGTAAAGCTAAAATGTTTGAAAAAATAGAATATTCTTCCCAAGGTTTTGTTAAAAAGTAATGTAACAGTAAAAAACCTGATATGATGCCTGAATTCACTTCAAAATAATATAGGAAGGGAAGAAGTGGGTGAGAGTACATGAAACAAGATTAGCCATGAACTAATTGTTGGAGTTGGGTGATCAGTGTATGGGGGATCACTATACTATTCTATCTACTTTCATTTACATTTAAAATGTTCCATAATAAATAATAAACATACACAAGTAACAACTTAAAAATCATACGTAAATTACACCTTTTCACCTCAATTTTCATTCATTTATAAAATAAATGGATCACAAGAAAGAGTTATTCCTTAAGCAGCGTCCTGTTACTTACAGCAAGATCTACAAGATGGAGCTTCCCCATCCTGACATGCATGTTACCATCAATGCCTTTTTCACTGCATTCTATAGTAATTGTAAAGATGGCATGGGAACGGGAACTATGTTCATTCATATTAGTTGCACCAACAGAACCTTTAATAAATAAAGGAAATCCTTAAAAAGTGTGACAGAGAGTACCTTTAAAATTTATTAAACACCCCGAACAGTTTAAAATACTTAATTTTATCACAATCAAAAGCCAGAGAGCATGCCTAAACCATAAAGGCATGAGTGTGTACTTAGCCATTACATGAAATTTATCTTATACTTTGTTGATAACAAATGAATTTGTAAGGTTTCTCATACTAAAGACGTAACTTTAGCAAAAAATAATTTCAATCCCAAGTAATACTGCCTAAAAAGTAACTACTAGTTACACCCAAAAAAAACGTATTAAGTAATTGGAAAAAGTATTGCTGATTTAGCCGTCTAAAGAGAATAATGCAAGCTGGTGTACTGTAGGAAGTAAAAAATAATAATAATAAAGGGAATTTTAGCTGGGCAAGAATTTTAGCTACTTGGGAGGCTGAGGCACAAGAATCACTTGAATCCGAGAGGTGGAGGCTGCAGTAAGCTGAGATTGCGCCAATGCACTCCAGCTTGGGTGATAGAGTAAGACTTTGTCTCAAAAAAAAAAAAAGAATTATGTTCTGGGCATATAAACCACAGGAACACTTGCGTGTATATGTTAGATAATACAACAATATTCAGTGCAGCATTAAAAAAAAGGTAGATCTAGGGCCGGGCGCGGTGGCTCAAGCCTGTAATCCCAGCACTTTGGGAGGCCGAGACGGGCGGATCATGAGGTCAGGAGATCGAGACCATCCTGGCTAACACAGTGAAACCCCGTCTCTACTAAAAAATACAGAAAACTAGCCGGGCGAGGTGGCGGGCGCCTGTAGTCCCAGCTACTCGGGAGGCTGAGGCAGGAGAATGGCGTGAACCCGGGAGGCGGAGTTTGCAGTGAACTGAAATCCGGCCACTGCACTCCAGCCCGGGTGACAGAGCGAGACTCCGTCTCAAAAAAAAAAAAAAAAAAAAAAGGTAGATCTAAAGACATGGAAAAATGTCCATAACATATAAATTAAAAATAAAAGCAAGTTAGAAAAGAATACATAATCCTACTTCTGTAAAACAAAAAATACGTTCAAAATATGCAAAGTATTTGCATATGTGTAAATATATGAACACATTGTGTAAACAAAAAACATGTTTTTTTACAATAGACCTGTATTAGCTTTTTTCTTAAATTCCAAAGTATTTTAAAAGCACTGTTAATTTTACTCAGTGCCAAAATTATCTTCCTACTATACATTCATGCAGAACTTTTCTATGCAAGCTTTGATCTTAGAATTTAAACATTAAAGCGGTACTCTTCAATGAAGAGACCAAAAGTTCCCACTAACTACCTGAGAATTAAATTAATTTCATTCTATGAATGAAATATTGTGTTAACAATTTTTAATTAAATAACCAATAATTAACATATTTCTGGTATTTAAATTTTTTTAAATAAAAGCATACAGAAAGTATAAAGTGAAAACTCCTGACATTCCTTTTCCCCAATTTTATTTCTCCTTCCCTAAAGGTAACCACTACTATCTGTCCTTTCATTTTGTATTTTATATACACATATGTAGACACAAACGCACACACAGTGCCCAAATAAATATATGGTTTAACAATTTTTCACATATAAATAAATGGGGTAAGGCAGTACATACACACTGTTCTACAATTTGCTTTTTTCCCCCACTGACAAACGCACTTTGAAATTCTTCCAGGTCTGTACAGGCACATTTAACTGATTGGGTTTTTTTTGTTGTTTCGTTTGAGACAGGATTTCACTCTGTCACCTAGGTTGGAGTGCAGTGGCGCGATCTCGGCTCGCTGCAACCTCCACCTCTCAGGTTCAAGTGATCCTCCAGCCTCAACCTCTTGAGTAGCTGAGATTACAGGCGCGCACCACCACGCCCAGTTAATTTTTGCATTTTTAGGACAGGTTTTCACCAGGTTGGCCAGGCTGGTCTCAAACTCCTGGCCTCAAGTGATCCACCCACCTTGGCCACGCACAGTGCTAGGATTACAGGCATGAGCCACCATGCCCAGCCTGTTTTTTTTCTTGTTTTTTTTTTGAGACAGAGTCTTCCTCTGTTGCCCAGGCTGGAGTTCAGTGGTGCTATCTTGGCTCACTGCAACCTCTGCCTCCCAGGTTCAAGTGATTCTCCTGCCTCAGCATCCCAAGTAGCTTGGATTATAGGCATAAGCCACCACGTCTGGCTGATTTTTTTGTATTTTTAGTAGAGACAGGGTTTCTCCATGTTGCCCAGGCTGGTCTCAAACTCCTGAGCTCAGGAAATCTGCCCACCTTGGCCTCCCAGAGTGCTGGGATTACAGGCATGCGCCACTTCACTCAGCCTAACTCATTGTTTTTAACAGCTTTATTACAGTCTATGGTATTTTTGTGCCATCATTTACATAATCAGTGTTTTGTTGACGGTTATTTAGATTGTTACATCTGAAAATATCTTCCAGAATATGTCTAAAATTAGAAACACAGAGTCAAAAGGAATGTATTTTAAAATGTCAACAGATACTGTTAACATTGCCCTTCAAACAGGCTGTACCAATTTATATTTCATCCTCAGTGCCCACTTCTTCAAAGTCTCACCAACCTACATATCCTTCATCCAATCTGATGGGTGAAACATCTCTCTCTCTCTCATTTTAGCATTTTCCTGATTACTTGTGAAGTTAAAGAGCCTTTCACATACTTATTGCTGTGTTTAGTTCTTCTACAAATAAAATACATATTTTTCCCTAATTTTTCTATTAAGATTTGGTCTTTTTCTATTAATTGGTTCATAAGAATGTAATCAATTTTTGAAGTTTTTTTGTTTGATTTCCTTGGGTTTGATAGATCTATGGTCAAGTCGTAGAAACTTATAAAAATTTTTCATTTCCTATTTCTCATCTTTTACCTCTAATCTTTTTTTTTTTCTTTTTTCTTTTGGTTGCTGTGTTGCCCAAGTTGGAGTGCAGTGGCGTGATCTCGGCTCACTGCAACCTCTGCCTCCCTGGTTAAAACGATTCTCCTGCCACAGCCTCCCGAGTAACTGGGATTACAGGCACCCACCACCACTCCCAGCTAATTTTTGTATTTTTAGTAGAGATGTTTCACCATGTTGGCCAGGCTGGTCTTAAACAAGTGATCCACCCACGTCAGCCTCCCAAAGTGCTGGGGTTACAGGCGTAAGCCACGGCACCCGGCCTTTTCACCTCTAATTTCTAATTGCTATTAGCTGCATCACCAGTACTAGGTTTGAGGCATCTGTATAACATCGCTGAAGCTTCTTACTCTTTAGACTAAAAACTTGACACAATTACTAAAAAGAACGTAATTTTTTAAATTTTGTTTTGCTTGTCAACAAAAGGGAAGCATTATAGTGCCTACTTAATGCAGACTACTGGCCTAGGTTTTCTGGGTTTCTTCCAGGTGTGTTTCTTTAGGACAGAGGCTCCCTATTGCCCAGGCTGGTCTCAAACTCCTGACCTCAAATGATCCTCCCAGTTCAGCCTCCCGAGTTGCTGGAATCACAGGCATGAGCCACCACGCATGGCTATAGCTTAGGTGTGATCACTCACTCTACCACTTAGTAGTTATAGTACTTAGACAAGTTACTTAAACTAAGTCTCACTTTCTTCATTCATAAAGTAAGAATTTAATATCTTCATAGTCTCCTGTGAGGACTAAGAGAGCATTCTTATAAAGCACTTAGCACAACACTCTCCACTAAGAGCTCAATAAACATTATCAATTTTACTATTATAGCTACTAAGAGACAGCTGTGTAAGAGTTGCATAGATTGGCACTACTAAAAAGAAACAAAATTTTGCTTGGCATGGAAAATGATTTGTGCTATCTTTCCTTCATATATGCTCTCTACACGGTAAATAATCAAAGTGGAATGGTTTTCAAGAAACCTAAAAATTTCAGTCTCTACAGGGCAAAATGCCATACCAAATTTGCTTCTAAACCAGCATACTCAACACACAGATGCTTAATCACAATTACATGTATACTATACTTACGATTTTTGTGGCCTAGTGTCATAATTCTATCCATATCATCAGCATTATTTACCACATAAGCTGATAAATCTTTGATATAAACTCCCACATCAGGTCTTTCTTTAACCTAAAAAAAAAAAATTAAGACTTCATACTATATCAATAACTCTCCCACAGTTATTTATTGAGGATCTCCTATGTGTTGGACACTCTACTAGACGGGGGGGATATAGCGATGAGTAAGATAGACACTGTTCCTACATGCATGGAGTGTCAGTCTATAGGAAGAACATACAAATGAAGAAGTACACACAAAAATTATTTTATTTCAATTGTGATGACACGAAGAAAAATACAGAAAAAGTACAGAACACTAAGCTAGTTAAGGAGATAGGATAAAATTCCCCAAGATGATGTTTAAGCTAAAATTTCTTTAAATAAAAAGGAGGCAGACAGTCAATTGAGGTAGGAGAAGAAGAAAATGTGCAAGAACCCTGAAATAAGAAAAAACTAGGCCGGGCGCGGTGGCTCAAGCCTGTAATCCCAGCACTTTGGGAGGCCGAGACGGGCGGATCACAAGGTCAGAAGATCGAGACCATCCTGGCTAACCCGGTGAAACCTCGTCTCTACTAAAAAATACAAAAAACTAGCCGGGCGCGGTGGTGGGCGCCTGTAGTCCCAGCTACTCGGAAGGCTGAGGCAGGAGAATGGCGTGAACCCGGGAGGCGGAGCTTGCAGTGAGCTGAGATCCGGCCACTGCACTCTAGCCTGGGCGGCAGAGCCAGACTCCGTCTCAAAAAAAAAAAAAAGGAAAAAACTAGGCACTTAACAACAAACCGAAAAAGACAATGTGGTTGGAGAGAGCAGGAAACAGGGAAAAACAGGTGAGACATCTGGTTATACAGGAAGGCAGAGACAAGTTTAGAATAGTTTTTGGTCTTTATGGTAAGAATAATTTGGAGAACTTCAAGCAACTGAGGGAAATAATCAGATCTATGGTATCAATGGTAAAATATGATCTTTCTGTGAATTACCTTATGAGAATTTTTAACCAAATTTGAAAAAGGTATTTAGGATGGATTTACCTAAAATACAAGTGGCGTTGTATAAACAAAATTCACTTTGAAGGTTCAGAGTCACCTCTACAAACCAACAGAATGAAAAGTGAAACTGAGGCAGAAGTCTGTGGCTGCCAGTGGGAAAAACCATTCCACGGGTAGGAAAACCTCATAAACATCAAAGACAAACGAAAATGTGATAAACAATTCCAGGAGAAAAAGTTATAAGCGCAGAAACTCAACATTCCAGTTGTTGATTTTCAATGTTGTATGTGTGTGTGCGTGCACCTTTTATAACAATTGATAAGATAAATTTACAAATTAGGAAAAATCCTTTATCTGTCATGGGATATAAATTAAGCCCTAATTTTATTAGTAGTGAAAAAAAAAAAGTGTGATGATCTCTATAAACCAGTGGATTTCAGACCTTGCTCTGAAAAGCCCTAGAGGGTCCATGGTGGCACTGAGGGGGCCACTGTAGGAGTTCAGGGGTCTTCAGGCCCAGAGAAGTTCTAAAGAGAAGGGCGCTTTCCTGAATTTTACACATTGAGCTTTCACATAAGGTCTAGTTTGATAAAAGTGTTTAAATGCTTTACACCTTTTAAAAGGTTTGAAAACTATTGATCTATATCAATACTTCTCAAAAAATCTGTGATAAGGGATGTATATATTTGTAATATGATAATTTTGTAAAATACAAAAATCATGCACTTGGATGCCATGGCCAATGTCAAATTGCTATGAAAGTTTTTAAGCAACTACTCTCAGTTTTTGTATTCATTCTCACTGCAGATTGAAAATGGACATTCTTCAAACCGAATCTGTCTGCAGACTCGTGGTCTTTTCCAATCACTATATGATACTAATTCAAAATTCGATTAATAAGTATATTCAACTAATAACTGATTAAATATGAAAGATGAAGAAAGAAAATATAATTCCAAATCTGTGAAAGTTAAAAAACTGGATGGAAATGCTACCAAAGAATTTTTATCATAAAAAACATAGGAATTCAATATCTATGACAAACACAGTTTATAACAATGGATCTCAATGGAAGCAGTTACCCTCTTGTCCTAGAATGTTTTAGAAATTTGCACAAGAGTTTCTGGTTCACTTGAGGACACTGTAGTATTGACAGGCAAGGACCAGGGATACTATATATCCTGAAATAAGTGGGACAGTCTCACCCAATGAAGAACTGTCCCACACAATTTTGAATGTCCTACCAGATATTCACATGGTAAAAAAAACTACTTATAATTATTTGAGTCTAGACCCAGATAATTATATCTGAGTCTGTCATATGTAACTTTATTTCACATATAAAGACAAAGTGCTTTTCCATATAGTAATAATAGGAGAACACAGAAAAACTGAGGAAAGAATTGTACTTTATTTTGTTCCAAACTCTACCAAGAGCTAGTCACTATTTTAAAAGACCATGTCATTGACAATAACACCAATCAAGGGGTTAGATCAACAATACAACATACCTGTTGACACTGCATTTGTAGCTGTTACAATTTTGATTCTATATGCCTCTATTTTATTATGTCATCAAGTGTGGTCACATCTAAGCATTTACATACCTAAATTTATTTTTAATTACTTGTATTCTCCTTTATATTACGGTAGGGTAGTATATGAATTTTTTTAAAAGTATGTGTATAGGTAGATTTTATTAATGTCACTTATGAATTTTATTTCAGGACAGTCAAAGAGCATTACAAAATATATGTTATTTAGAAAGGAGCACTGGGTCTAACAGAGTTGAGAACCATTGACAAGAATCTTCCTGAGAATAAATCTGATCTATAATTACTGGTACAAAAATGGAAATGTTCTTTCCAAATGATTTTTTCCTAGAATTTGCATAAGACAACAAATTTTTTAGGACATGAAAGCACAGAATTAATCAGAACTAAAGTTGAAAACTAGCAACAAAGAAATTTGTTTCTATATTTGCTATATAAATGGTATCAGAGAATAAGGCTTCCTGAAGGTCCAACAAGCACAAACAATCCTTAACACTGTAATACATTGCTCCAAAAACTCAGTTTATGCAGTAAACTCAAAAAGAAAAAAAAAGCTAATATTTATTATTTTATGTCAGGCATTGATTTAAACACTTTGATCTGTTAATGTTGGTAATAATCCTATGAAGTAGATACCATTATTATTTCCATTTTTACGGCCAAACCAAGGCTCACAGATATTAAGTAACTTGCTCAAGATCAGAGCCAGAATTCAAGCTAAGATGGTAGACTGCTAGAACAACCTTCTTAATCCTAGATGTTACTGCCATTCACTTGCTATGTGACCTTGAGCAAGTCAAGAAACCCCTCTAAATTTCAGTTTCCACATCACTGAAATCGAACTGCTGGGAAGATTAAATGAAATTAATTATTTACTACTACCAACAACCATCAATTACTGCACTGAATGCCTATATCACATTACAAGAGCTCAGCAACGCTGGCTGCTGTTCTACACATGCTCTATACTATTCTACAACGGCAGCTACTGCTGTTCTACATGTTACTCTACATACGTTATTCTCTTCTATTTTACCGGTGATGCAATCCAACTAAAATTCCAGGATTAACCTTTTCCTTGCTGTATGTCTCACATCTTAAAATACTAAAGTATGCAGCAATATCAAATTTACCAATTATTTACCACCTGACTCAGCAATCCTACTTCAGTAATTTATCCCCAGATATGTCTGCAGATGTATGACATTATATATGTACTAGGTTATTTAAAATATAAAAAGCAACTTCTGTTTAAAAAAAGAAGGGGGACCTTAATTTAGTAAACATTCTATTGCTTTGGAAAAAGTACTCCACCAATTTCAATTATCCTTACCTCTAACCTTTGTGTCTGATCCTTGCCCAAAAGGTCACGAACTTCTTCATTATATATTTCCAAATAAGACACTCGAACCAAAAATCTATAAATAAAACATCATTTTTAAAAAGTCGAGGAGAGTGGAATATTTGTAAGAGCCATTTTAAAACATGTTTATAAAATTTATACCTATGTGCCTTTTCTGTGTTTGTAGTTCTCAATACTAGAAAATAAAAGAATTCCCTTTTACCTTGTATCACCCTCTGCTTTTGCAATATGACCAAATATGTGAGCAAATGAATTGGGAATTATCCCTCTAAGTTCAGGAACAGCTCGAACACCTTCCATGGTAAAAGTTTTGCCTGTTCCAGTTTGTCCATATGCAAAAATAGTCCCTGAAAATGATGAAGAGAATCAGTTACTTCTTAAAGTCTAATGCTATAGAACAATAGCTCTTAAAATTAATTCCTTTGACACTGTGATGTAATTTCTTCCCTGGATTCAAAATTTATTCTCACACAAGTTTCACCTTTATTATCAACAATTACACTGTGTAGTCTGTACCACATGCACAAAGCACTGTTACAGCACCAGAGTCAATGAGAGATATCCCTAATAATTAATAAAAAGCATCCCAAGCCCTAAATGCAAAAATCTTCCAATGTATCTAATTATGAGACATTTCTTATCATGTGTATATAAAGTACTTATTGTGGACATTAAACTGGAGAAGGTATTATAAGCACAGCAAAAGAATACAGGCTCTAGAGCAGAAAGACCTGTCTCAAATCACATCTGCCACTTTTTAGCCACTGACCTTGGACAAGTTATCTACCCAGAGACTGTCTCCTCAACGGTAAAATGGGGATAAGAAAACTCGCCACTGATAGTAAGAACCAAATGAGACAATTTCCTTCAAGTAACCAACACAACATCTCATAGAAAGTATCAGTAAAATGATAGCTTTTTTTCTTAGTCCTAAAATAAGTGTATTTTTAAACAATTGTTTTAAAGTAACAACTGTAAGAAACAGAGTTAACAAAAAGATGACAATACAATTATTACAGGTAATTACAGATAAAATCTCAACTTTCTAAATACCTAAATTCATTCATTCAACAAATATTTACCACACCTGAGTTTGGCATTGTACTAGGCACTAGAGACAGAATGACAAGACAAACGCAATCCTTAATCTTATGATATGTATATTCTTGGGTTTATCATGATAATGAGTATTCAGAATGAGAAACACAGATTTCAAGATGGGAGTCAGGGACATCAACTGGCCAGAGGAATTGTAGTGGGAAAAAGGGAGAGAGGGTCAGGGAAGACTTTCCAGAAGAGGTAAGGTTTAGATCTGAAATACAAGTAAGAACCAGATAGGAACAGTGTGGACAGTAAGAGGCAAGAAAAAGAATGGAAATTTTGAGGACTGAAATGAGACCAGAATGGAAGAAACAGATAGAAAGGGAAGGTGGATACAGGCAGACCTAGAGAAACTGACAATGCCATAATCACACAGTGTAATAAGGACCATATTAAACTTTTTAGACCTTATCCTAAAAGCAACATGAAGCCACAGAATGATTTTTCAATCAAAGGAGTGACATCATGATCACTATGGCTATATTGTGGATGAAAAATTGGAGAAAAGCAAGGGTAGATGTGGGGAAACAGAGGGCTGGAGTAGTTGGCCAGGACACAGTATAGTAAGAGAAGATAGCCTTGGATGTGATGGCATATATGAAAATGGTTCCTCAACTATTACTACTCTATTCAGTTAACCTCAACTTTTCTCAGACTTTTTTTTGTGAAAATAATCATAACATACTTTTCAGACTTTTCTGTGAAAATAAATGAATCATACCAGAAGCCATTTTTCACACACAGGAATAAAAAAGTCTCAATTTTTTCAAACTGACTGAATATTTCAAACTCTGCTATTAGGAATATAACACTACACTCAAAGAAGTGGAAAATATCATGAACTCATAGACTGCATTTCAGAATAGACACATTAAATTGTTAAATAAAAAATAAGCTTTATTTTTTATTTAACAATTTAATGTGTCTATTCAGTAAGGACAACAGCTGTCACTTACTGATAATTTGCTATGTGATAGGCCATGTACTTTACTTTCTTTTTTTTTTTAAGAGATGAGGTCTTGCCCTGTCACTCAGACTAGAGTGCAGTGGCATGATCATAGCTCACTGCAACCTCAAACTCCTGGGCTCAAGAGAATCCTCCTGCCTCAGCCTCCTGAGTAGCTGGGATTACAGCTGTACCTCCCAGTTATGTTTGCATTCTTATTTAACTTCCATCCCAATCCTAAGAGATAGGCACTATTTATTATTATTAATATTATTTAAAAATAATAAACAATGGCCAGGCAGGGTGGCTCATGCCTATAATCCCAGAATTTTGGGAGGCCAAGGAGGGCGGATCACTTGAGGTCAGGAGTTTGAGACCAGCCTGGCCAACACGGTGAATCCCCACCTCTACTAAAAATACAAAAATTAGCCGGGTGTGGTGGCGCACGCCTGTAGTCCCAGCTACTTGGGAAGGTGAAACACAAGAACTGCTTGAACCTGGGAGGCAAAGGCTGCAGTGAGCCAAGATTGCACCATTGCACTCCAGCCAGTAGCACTGCACTCTAGTCAGGGCGACAGAGTGAGACTCTGTCTCAAAAATACAATAAATAAATAAATATAAACAATAAACTATATTCTGGGCTGGGTGCCGTGGCTCATGCTACAGTCCCAGCACTTTGAGAGGCTGAGGTGGGAGAATTACCTGAGCCCAGGAGTTCAAGACCAGCCTAGGCAACCCAGTGAGACTCCATCTCTACAAAAAATTTTAAAAATTAGCCAGGTGTGCATAAAAAGGAACGAAATAATGGCACTGGCAGCAACCCGGATGGGACTAGAAACTATTATTCTAAGTGAAGTAACTCAGGAATGGAAAACCAAACATCGTATATTCTCACTTACAAGTGGGAGCTAAGCTAGGAGGATGCAAAGGCATAAGAATGATACAATGGACTTTAGGAACTCGGGAAAGAGTGGGAGGGGGGTGAGAGATAAAAGACTACACACTGGGTACAGTGTACACTGCTTGGGTGATGGGTGCACCAAAATCTCAGAAACAACCACTAAAGAACTTATTCATGTAACTAAACACCCCCTGTTCCCAAAAACTTAATTGAAATTAAAACTAAATTTAAAAAAAAAATTAGCCAGGCACGGTAGGATGTGCCTGTAGTCTCAGCTACTGGGAAGGCTGAAGCCAGAGAATCACTTGAGCCCAGGAGGTTGAGGCTGCAATGAGACGTGACAGTGCCACTGCACTCCAGCCTGGGTGACAGGGTGAGACCTTGTCTTGAAAAAAACAAAAACAAACAAAAAACAACAACTAAAAGAAAAACTATATTCTGGGTCATAAAACAAGTCTTAATAAATTTAAAAAGATTCAAGGCACATAAAGTTGTTCTCTAACTAAACTGAGATTAAGTTAGAAATCAATAACCGAAAATCTCTAGAGAATCTAAAAATATTTGGAAACTAACACATTTCTAAGTAACCTAGGATCAAAGAAGAAATCAGGAGGTAAAATGGTATCCTGAACTACATGAAAATGAAAACACAGTATGTCAAAATCTGTAGGATGACACTAAAACAGCACTCAGTGGCAATCTATAGCATTAAACTCCCATATTAGGAAAAAAGGTCTCAAAACAATGGCCTCAGCTTCCACTTTAAGTAGAAAGAAAAGAGGAAAGTAAGCCCAAAGTAAGTAAGAGAAAAAAAAAAATAAAGATCAGAGCAGAAATAGATGAAATAGGAAACATAAAAACAGAAAGAAAAATTAATAAAACCAAAAGCTGGTTCTCTGAGAAGACTGATAAGATTGATAAACCTCTAGTCAGACTAATCAGGAAAAAAAGAAAATAGTAAGTTACCAATAACAAGAATGAGAAAAGTTATACCAGTACGTTCAACATACCAAAAGAATAATAAGGGAATAGTATAAACAACTTTTTGCCAATGAGTTTGACAACTTAGATGAAACAGACTAATTCTGTGAAAGACAAGCTACCAACCTCACTTAAGAAAAAACTGACCAGGCACGGTGGCTCACGCCTATAATCCCAGCACTCTGGGAGGCGAAGGCAGGCGGATCACCTGAGGTCAGTAGTTTGAGACCAGCCTGACCAATATGGTGAAACCTGTCCCTACTAAAAATACAAAAATTAGCCAGGCATGGTGGCGTGTGCCTGTAATCCCAGCTACCCAGGTAGCTGAGGCAGGAGAATCGCTGGAACCCAGGGAAGGAGAGGCTGCAGTGAGGCAAGACTGCGCCACTGCACTCCAGCCTGGGCAACAGAGCAAGACTCCGTCTCAAAAAAAAAAGAAAAGAAAAAATAGATAACCTGGCCAGGCATGGTAGCTCATGCCTGTAATCTCAGTGCCTTGCGAGGCTGAGATGGGAGGACTGGTTGAGTCCAGGAGTTCAAGACCATCTTAGGAAACATAGTTTCTTATCTCTACCAAAAAAAAAAAATTAAAATTAGCTGGGCATGGTGTGGTGGCACACACATATAGTCCCACCTACTCAGGGGGCTGAAGTGGGAGAACTGCTTGAGCCCGGGGGGTAGAGGCTACAGGGAGCCACAATCACACCACTGCACTCCAGCCTGGGCGATAGAGACCCTGTTTCAAGAAAAAATAATAATAATAATAGAAAAAAATTAGCCAGGCATGGTAGCACACACCTGTAGTCTCAGTTATTGGGGAAGCTGAGGTGGGAGGATTGCTTAAGCCCAGGAAGTGGAGGTTGCAGGGAGCTGTGATTGTGCCACTGTACTCCAGCCTGGGTAACAGAGTGAGACCCTGACAAAAAAGGAAAAGAAAAAATACATAATCTGAATAGTCTTATGTCTATTAAAGAAATTGAATCAATAGTCGAAAACCTTCCCACAAAGAAAACTTCAAGCCCAGATGGCTTCACTGATGAATTCTACCAAACATTTAAGAAATAATACCACTTCTAAACAAATTCTTCTAGAAAACTGAAAAGAAGGGGATACTTTCTAACTCATTCTATGAAACTAGCATTATCACAATACCCAAACCAGAAAAAGGCATTAGAAGGAAACTACATACTTGCATCCCTCATGAACATGGATGCCAAAATTTTTTTTAATTTAGCAAATAAATCTAACAATATATGAACAGAACAATGCATCATGACCAAGTAGCAAAGCTAGTTTCACATTCAAAAATCAATCAATGTCATTTACCATATTAACAAACCTTTAAAAAAAAATTATTTCAATAGGTGCAGAAAAAAATGATATTTCACAAAATCCAATATACAATCCAAAAACTCTCAGCAAACTAAGAACAGAAGGGAACTTCCTCAAACTTACAAAGGATATCTGTTAAAATCTACAGACATCATCATACTGGTGAAAGAATGAATGCAGTTTTCCTAAGATCAGGAACAAGACCAAAATGTCCACCCTCACCATTTCGAGTCAACATTTACTGGAGGTTCTAGTCTCCAGGTGCTATCAGGTAACAAAAATAAATTTAAGGAGACTGGAAAGGACAAAGTAAAAACTGTCTTTACTTGCAAACGACATTTTTTTTTTTTTTTTTTTTTTTTGAGACAGTCTTGCTCTGTTGCCCAGGCTTGAGTGCAGTGGCGCGATCTCGGCTCACTGCAAGCTCCGCCTCTTGGGCTCACGCCATTCTCCTGCCTCAGCCTCCCGAGTAGCTGGGACTACAGGCGCCCGCCACCACACCCGGCTAATTTTTTGTATTTTGTTTAGTAGAGATGGGGTTTTACTGTGTTCGCCAGGATGGTCTTGATATCCTGACCTCGTGATCCTCCTGCCTCAGCCTCCCAAAGTGCTGGGCTTACAGGCGTGAGCCACCGCGCCCGGCCCATTTTTGTTTGTTTGTTTTGAGAGAGTCTTGCCCTGTCGCCCAGGCTGGAGTGCAGTAGCGTGATCTTGGCTCACTGCAACCTCCGCCTCCAGGGCTCAAGTGATTTTCCTGTCCCTGCCTCCCAAGTAGCTGGGATTACAGGCATGAGCCACCATGCCTGGCTAATTTTTTTATTTTTAGTAGATACAGGGTTTCACCATATTGGTCAGGCTGGTCTTGAACTCCTGACCTCGTGATCCGCCTGACTTGGCCTCCAATGTGCTGGGATTACAGGCGTAAGCCACTGTGCCTGGCCAACATATTCTTAACATGGAGAAAATCCTACAAAATTTACAAAAAATCCAAAACATAAAAAAAGTACTAGAATTAATAAGCAAGTTTAGCAAAGTTGCAGGATAAAGGTCAATATACAAAAATCAATTGTGGGTACTAAGAGGGCAGTCATCAAAAAGGCAATAACAAGTGCTGGCAAAGATGTGAAGAAATCAGAAACCTCACACATTGCTGATGGGAAGAGAAAATGGTGTAGCTACTGTAGAAAAGTTTGGCAGCTCCTCAAAATGTTAAAGAGTTACCATGTGACCCAGTAACTCCACTCTTAGGTATATACCCAAGAGAAACTAAACATATTTTCACACAAAAATCTGTAAAAGAATGTTCAAAGTAACATTATCTGTAATAGCTAAAAAGTAGAAACAACAAATGTTCATCAACTAATAAATGGATAAACAAAATATGATATATCTATACGATATTATTCAGACATAAAAAGTAATGAATTGCTGGCCGTGTGCAGTGGCTCACACCTGTAATTCCAGCACTTTGGGAGGCCGAGGCGGGTGGATCACAAAGTCAGGAGTTTGAGACCAGCCTGGCCAATATAGTGAAACCCCCATCTCTACTAAAAATACAAAAATTAGCTGGGCATGGTGGCAGGCACCTGTAGCCCCAGCTACTCGGGAGGCTGAGGCAGGAGAATCACTTGAACCCAGGAGGCAGAGGTTGCAATGAGCCAAGATCACACCACTGCAATCCAGCTTGGGTGACACAGCAAGACTCCGTCGCAAGAAAAAAAAAAAAAAAAAAAAAAAGACCAGGTGTGGTGGCTCACACCTATAATCCCAGCACTTTGGGAGGCCAAGGTGGGCAGATCACGAGGTCAGGAGATCGAGACCATTCTGGCTAACACTGTGAAACCCCGTCTCTACTAAAAACACAAAAAATTAGCCGGGTGTATTGGCGGGCGCCTGTAGTCCCAGCTACTTGGGAGGCTGAGGCAGGAGAATGGCATGAGCCCAGGAGGCGGAGCTTGCGCCACTGTACTCCAGCCTGGGTGACAGAGTGAGACTTTGTCTCAAAAAAAAAAAAAAAAAAAGAAGGAATTGCTGATATATGTTTACATGTTACAATACAGATGAAGCTTGAAAACACTGTAAGTGAAATAAGTTATTCACAAAAGGCCACATGGCATATAACTCCATTTACAGAAAATGTCTAGAACAGGCAAACTCATAGAATAGATATAGACAGCAAATTAGTAGTTGCTGGGTTGAGGGAAGGGAGGTGGTAATGGATTGGGAGTGACTGCTAATGGATACAGGGTTTCTTTTTGGAGTGATAGAAATGTTCTGGAAACAGACAGTGGTGACAGCTGCACAACATTGTAAATGAACTAAAAACCTATGAACTGTAAAATCATAAATTTGATATTTGAATTTTATCACAAAAGCTACCTAAAGAAATCAACTTCATCTCTATATATTAGGAACGTACAATCCAAAATTGAAATTATGAAAGCAATCCTATTCACAATAACATCAAAAAAATACTTAGGAATAAATTAATCAAAACAAGTACAAGACTTGTACACTAAAAGCTACAAAATACAGATGAGAGAAATTAAGACATAAATAAATGGAGAGAAGCTGGACATGGTAGCTGACATGGGAAATCACAGTGCTTTGAAAGGCCTCAGCAGGAGATTCCTTGAGCCTAGGAGTTCGAGACCTGAGTGAGCAACACAGCAAGACCTAGTTTTTACAAAAACAAAAAAATTAGCCAGGTGTGGTGGTGCACAGCTGTAGTTCTTGTTACTTAGGAGGCAGAAGGGAGAGGAGAGCTTCAGCCCAGGAGTTCAAGGCTGCAGTAAGCTATGACCGCACCACTGCACTCCAGCCTGGGCAACAGAGCAAGACCCTGTCCATAATTAATTAATGTTTCAACGTTTTAAATGGAGAGAAGTATCATGTTCATGGACTGGAAGACTCAATATTGTCAGAATGACAATTCAACACAATCCCTATGAAAATCCTAGTAGGATAAACTTCAAAAACATTATTTGATGTGAAAGAAAACAGATAAACAAGGTGACATATTATATGACATTTCAAGAAAAGGCAAAATTACAGTGACAGAAAGCAGATCAATGGTTGCTTGGGGGTGGGTCGGCAAACGGATATAAAGGAACTTTTGGGGATGACAATGGTGTTCTAAAGCTGGATTCTGATGATGGTTTCATAACTGTATACATTTACTACACTCATCAAACTGCACAGTTGCAATAGGTGAATTTATGGCACATTAATTATGTCTCAATAAGGGTGTTTTTTAAAAAGTAAATATTCACTTACCATTGTAGCCTTCAAGTACAGAATCAATAATAGGTCTTGCAGTTAAGTTATAAACATCAAGTTGTTTACTCTCTGGTCCAAAAACAGTATCAAAAGTAAATGTCTTTGGAGGTTCATTGGAAGAATCAGTCTTATGTACAGTGATAGTTCCCCTCATCTCATCCACACTGACAGCCTGTTTGTAGCACATTGATTTCTCTCTCTCATTGAGGGGCCGGCACCTAACAACAACCTTCACATTATCGCAGCTTTCTGGCTTCTCTGATTTATTGATCTGTTGGAGATAATATTTACAAATAATGAAAAGAACATTTATTTTTACCCTCAACAGATTAAATGTATAAATTTTAAAAGGCTACTTTGCCACCTCAGTGCCTCGCACACATTAAACACTTCGTAAGTATTTGTTACATGCAATTAAAGATCTTACATATAGGTGAAAAGTTTATTAAAAGATATAAAAAGGAAAATAGTTTCTTTTAAAACATAAAAGGGAGAGAAAATCTAGTTTACATTTGTGGCAAAGGCTGTACAAGCAGAAACTGAACCAGTATATTCTAGATTGTCTTTCTGCACAAAAGTCTCTGACCCAGCGTTTCCTGCCTGTAGAAAAACACATGTGACTACGGTTAACAACTTTAACTCAAGAATATAGTAGGCCCTCTGTTTCCCCCGAGACTTTAGTTTTATCCCCTATTATGCATCTGTAAAATGGTTTTTATTATGTAATACATCCATATATGCCTTCTCTACAGAAGACAACAATAAGATAAAGACAGAAATGAAAGTCTAATGGCAAAGAAAAATGCCTTATATTACCTAATCTTATGAGCATTTGTGCATGTAAAGTTTCCATTTCTGAATGTTTTTTTTCTTATTTTTTGAGACAGAGTCTCACTCTGTCACCCAGGCTGGAGTGCAGTGGCATGATCTCGGCTCACTGCAACCTCTGCCTCCCAGGCTCAAGCGATTCTGCTGCCTCAGCCTGCCCAGTAGCTGGGATTACAGGCATCCATCACCATGCCCAGCTAATTTTTGTATTTTTAGTAGAGATGAGGTTTCAATTTGTTGGCCAGGCTGGTCTCGAACTCCTGACCTCAAGTGATCCACCCACCTCGGCCTCCCAAAGTGCTGAGATTACAGGCGTGAGCCACCGCACCCAGCTATTTCTGAAATTTTATGATTAAGAAAATATAATGAAACACAATCCTATTATTGAAGTGAAAAGGACAGTTTAGTTGAATAGATACCTGTTAAATTCCAACTGTTTCAGATTCTCTTCTAAGCATTAAAGAGAAACAAATATAAGCCATTGTCATTGACTTTGACATTGTCACTGACAAGTAACAGATTATATCAGTACAATACACGTCTATCTATCTCTGCCTTCATCACACTAGTCTAAATTACCATCATCTTGGCCCTGGATTACTGCCTCCTAACTATATTCCTGAATCTAATTAGATTGCCCTACTGCCTATTCTCCAAATAGCAGTCAGTGTCAACACAAATCTAATCATGTCACTCTCCTACTTAAAAATTCTTCAGTGGTTTCCCATAGATCTCGGGACAAAAACCAGAATCCTTAAGGTGGTCTGTAAGGTCTGGCTTCCACCCATGTCTGCTTCTCTGGGCTTATTTCACAAGATATTCTGCCTGGCTCATCCATGCCACAGCCACACTGAGCTTCTTGGCCTTTTCTTGTCACCAGGCTCCTCACCACTGGCCTTTCCATGTGCTGTTTCTTCTACCTAGAACCATCTTCAGTGGCCTCTTCATTTAGCTAACATCTACTTATCCTTCAGAACTCAACAGCCACTTCACCTGGGAAGACTTCCTGACTAGGTCAAATACTCTTATAGGCTCAGAGAGCACCCTGCTCTCTCCTTCCTGGACACAAATTTTACTTTTGCTTGTTCCTTATTTGATTAATGTCTTTCTGTCTACACTGGAGGTTGCAAACAGGTAGTCAAAAGGCTGAATTCAGCCCACAAATTTCTTTTGTTTGGTTCATAGTATTTAAAGAGCTTCTGAATTAGTTGCTAAAATTAAGAAATTTCACAAAAATAATTTCTAAAGTCTCTTCTTGGGAGAAAAAAAAATCTGTTATCATCTGCAGACCATCAATCTTACATGGCAATACTTTCCAATTCACCAGAATCTACTTCTCTCTATTGTAGGACACCCACCCACTTCATTCATTAAGGTTTTGTGTCTTATTTCTGTAAATACGTATGATTTTCACCTCTGCCCAAGAAGGCAAGCCTCTCTCTTTCCAAGTTCAAGAACCTGACTGGTTTTGCTCAATGTTGTATCTTCAGGGCCTAGTGGTTGGTGTGCCCAATATTTATTGAGTTAAAAACTTGAAAGCAGTGAACAGGTACAAATATAGACCGTTTAATCTTAAATGTCAAGCACTGTCCTTCTAGTCTCCTGTGCATTATTTCACGCGGATAACCACCCCATGAGGTAAAGTTTACTTGGGAACTAAGGACCCAGACAGATTAAATAATTATGCCAGGCTTCACAACCACTAAATAAGCGGCCATGGCTCAATTTTCCTCCATGACCCCTAACAAGGGGTCTTACAAGGCCCCATTATTAAGTTCACGATAACAATCTGTGAAATCCTGGAAGATAAACATAACACCGCCACACATACAAAGACACCTACAGGTTTCATTCTGCATAAGCTAAAGCGCCACAAGAGAAATGACAGCTCCAGGCTAGGAGAGTCGGAGTCAATAGGGGCAGGCAGCCTTCGCTCCGCTGCTTTCCTGAGCTTGCTCCGAGGCGCAAAGGCCTCACGAGGTGTGGAGCATCCAAAGAGACCCTCCGTGGCCACCTCCAGACGCCCCGCTCAGCAGGCAGGGCTGCGAGCCAGAGAGCATCTTCCAGCACAGCGCCTTTTTGATAAGCGGCGCAGGCCCCACGGGACGCAGCAACGACGAGGGCGGCAGGGCCTGCCCCCAGGCCCCTCTCGAGGCCAGCCGGACGTCCGCGGCCCCGGGGCTGACTAGTCAGGCTCTCCAACCACCTCCGCCGCACCGCCGAGCCTGCCCCGCCCCACCCAGGCCGCCAGCCTGCTCCGCGCCTCCATGGCAACGGCCGCGCCCCCGGGCCAGGCCGCGAGGATGAGAAGAAACCCCAGAGGCGAAGCGACTCTCCTCACCGGCATCTTGGCTCCCTCCCGTGCCCGGCGGACGTCCCCGCCCGGGGTACAGCGCAACGACACCGGGTGCGCAGAAAGGCTGGCCAGAGACTATCGAAGCACCTCGTTAACGCTCTCGAGACTGCGGCTTCCCGGGCGAGAGCGCCCAGTGCGCAGCCGCATTCTGAGCTCGCCCCGCCCCAAGCCCAGTCTCAGACTCTCACGGCCCTTGAATTACGCCTGCGCGGAGGCTTTCCGAGTCCATCTCCTAGGACTCCAGACAGAGGCCGCGCGTGCGCAATGCTGCCATTCTGCTGCACTAGAAATGTGCCCCGCACTGAGGCGGAGATAACCTGGCAGCCCCGGGTTGGGAGGAGAAGCAGCTCTTAGGCCCCTCTGCTGGTCCTTGCAATACCCGGAATGTTAAAATCAGTAATAGCAATTGTACATTTTCTCTCATCCGAAGAGTTAAAGACCTCACCTACCTGACCTCGCTTGATTGCTAACTTCCTCATGACCCGTCTTACCATTAGAAAGCGAGCTCTTAAGGAGGTTGTTTAGTATTTTCACATTTATCTCCAGAGCCTGCACAGAGCCTGGCACAGAGTGGGATTTTTATACGTGTTGGTCAAAGAACCAATGATCCGTCCATCCTCTTTCCAGTCCACTTGAATGTGTAATGGGCATTTCAAGTTAGTCATGTCCAGAATTGAAATCTTGATCCCCCATCAGTCGCCCCACTACCCCACTCCACCCCCATTAAAAAATTAAAAAGGGCTCCCTCTCATCCTTCTCAGACTTCCTTCGTCTCAATATGTGGGAGCTTAATTCCGACAACTGCTCAGGTCAAAACTGCAAGCTCTTTCATGTGTATGAATATTCTATCTTTAAATACAGCCTGTTGTATCTGTCTTCGTAGTGGAACCATTTGGCCACTTCTCCCACCACCATCGTCTCTCACATGCATTACTACAATCGCTCAGAACTGGTTTCCTTGATTGTGTCCTTGTCCCCTTTCAGTGTGCTGGACAAGAGCCAGAGTGCTGGTGCTAAAACATGAATCAGATCTTCTCTTTTCTCTGCTCAAAACCCTCCATTGATTTCCCATCTTACAAAGCTAAAGCCACAAGCCCTACAATCCTCCCTCTTGCTTCTTTTGCACCAGCCCCACCTGGCCTCCTTGTATCACCAACATTCCCGTTGTGCTTCCATCTTAGCATGCAAGGGCTGTGAGCTTGCAGTAGGAACTGATGAAAATAATGATAAAGCATTTTACATAGTGCCAGTGTACTGTTCTGCATGCTTTCTTTTTTTAATTCATTTAATCCACACAATAACCTTTTGAAATAGATACTATTTATTATTATTTTACAGATAAAGTAATGGCGGCACAGGACCATTAAATAACTTTTCCAAGGTCGTATATACAAACAATGACAGAGCCCAGGTCCAAACCCAGGCAGCCTAGAAAGTTCTTTCCCTAAATAACCACCTGACCCCCTCACCTCCTCCAGAAAGTCTTTGTTCACATAATCCCAGTGAACCCGAATATGATTTCCTTATTTAAAATTCCAACCTTCAGCCCCAACTCTTTTTTTTTTCCCTGCCTACTTTATATTTCTCCATAGTACCTATCACCATTCAATATTTTATATATGTACACACATACAAGCTTTACTGAGATATAATTTACACACCATACCATACAATTGACCCATTTAAATTGTACAAGTCAATAGTTCCTACTATATATGGAGTTGTGCATCCATAACCTAGAACATTTTTATCATTTCAAAAAGACACCCTACACTCATAAGCCACTCCCCCTTGCTCTCTGCAACCCTCCTCCCACCCCACTGCCAACATCCCAGACCTAGACAACCCACCAATCTACTTTCTATCTCTATGGATTTGCCTATTCTGGACATTTCATATAAATGAAATTACACAATATGCAACCTTTTGTGAGTAACTTCTTTCACTTACAATGTTTTCAAACTTTATCCCTATTGTAGCATAGATCAGCAATTTGTTACTTTTTATGGCTGAATAATATTCCATTGTATGGCTATAACATGTTTTTTACCTATTTGTCATTGATGGATATTTGGTTTGTTTCTACCTTTTGCCTATCATGAATAATGCTGCTACAAGTTTTTGTATGAACCTATGTTTTCCTTCCTCTTGGTTACACATCTAGAAGTAGAATTGCTGGATCATTTGGTAATGCTAATGTTAAACATTTCGAGGAACTGCCAAGTTGTTTTCCACAGTAGTGCACCATTTTAAATTCCCACCAGTAACATGTAAGGTTTACAATTTCTCCACATCCTTGCCAACACTCACTTTTGTGTAAAGTAGTATCTTGCTGGAGTTTTTATTTATTTTCATTTCCCTGATCATAATGATGTTGAGCATTTTTTAATGTGCTTTTGCAATTTGTATAACTTCTTTGGAGAAATGTTCATTCAAATCCTTTGACCATTTTATTTGTCTTTTTCATTATTAAGTTGTAAGAGTTCTCTATATATTCTGAATGCAAAGCCCTTTTCAAGTATATGACATGCAAATATTTTCCCCCATTCTGTGGGTTTTCTTTTTACTTTATTGATATCGTCCTTTGAAGCACAAAAGTTTTAAATTTTAATCAAGTCCAATTTACGTATTTTTTCTTTTGTCACTATGCTTTTGGTACGTATGTAAGAAACCATTTCCTAACCCAAGATCATGAGGATTTACCTAGAGTATTATAGTTTTAGCTGTCACATTCAGGTCTATAATCTATTTTGTGGGGTTTTTTTGTTGTTGTTGTTTGTTTGTTTGTTTTTTGTTTATGAGACAGAGTCTCGTTCTGTCACCCGAGCTGGAGAGCAGTGGCGCGATCTCAGCTCACGGCAACCTCTGCCTCCTGGATTCAAGCGATTCTCCTGCCTCAGCCTCCTGAGTAGCTGGGACTACAGGCATGAGCCACCACAGCAGGCTAATTTTGTATTTTCGTAGAGATGGTTTCTCCATGTTGGTCAGTCTGGTCTCAAACTCCTGACCACAGGTGATCCACCCACCTCAGCCTCCCAAAGTGCTGGGATTACAGGCATAAGCCACCGTGCCTGGCCCTATTTTGAGTTACTTTTTGTATACAGTGTGATGGAGGGATTCAAATTCATTCTTCTGTATGTGAATATCCAGCTGTCCCAGAGCCATTTGCTGAAAAGACTATTCTTGTCTATAGCCATACCACCCTGAATGAGCCTGATCTTGTCTGAAAAAACTATTCTTTACCCCATTGAACTGGCACCTTTGTTAAACTGATCATTAATGCAAGCATTGGTTTCTAGACCCTCGATTCTAGTCCATTGATGTATAGTCCATCCTAATACCAATACCACACTGTCTTCACTACTTTATGTTTGTAGTAAGTTTTGAAATTAGATAGGTGGGGCCTCTAACTTTCTTCTTTTTCAAGATTGTTTTGGTCATTTTGAATCCCTTGAATTTCTTTAAGAATTTCAGGAACACTTTGTCGATATCTGCAAAAAGACAGCTGGAATTTTAACAGGGATTATGCAAAATATATAGATTAAATTGGAGAGTATTGCCATTTTAACAATTTAAGTCTTCCTACCCATGAACACAGAATGTCTTTCCATTTATTTAGGTTTTCTTTAATTTCTTTTAGTGATGTTTTGTAGTTTTCAATGTATACGTTTTATATTTTTTGATTATATTAATATTTTTCCCAAATATTTTATTTTTTGTTTGTTTGTTTTTTGAGATGGAGTCTCAATCTGTGGCCCAGGCTGGAGTGCAATGGCACAGTCTCTGCTCACTGTAACCTCCACCTCCCCGCCGAGTTCAAGCGATTCTCCTGCCTCATCCTCCTGAGTAGCTGGGATTACAGGCACGTGCCACCATATCTGGCTAATTTTTGTAACAAATATTTTATTATTTTTATGCTGTTGTAAATGAAACTGTTTTTTAAATTTCATTTTCAGATTATTCATTATAGTGTACAGAAATAAAATTGACTTTTATAGTACAGTGATCTTATACTCTGCAACTTTCCTAAACTTTTTTTTTAGTGGATTCCTTAAGATTTTCTATATATAAAATCATATCATCTGCAAATAAAGACGATATGATTTCTTTCCAACCTGGATGCTTTTTCTTTCTTTTCTCGCCTAATTGCCCTGGCTAGACTCTCCTGTACATTGTTGAACAGAACTGGTGAACACAGACATTCTTGTCTTATTGATGATTTCAGGTGGAAAGCATTTGATCATTTACTATTAAGTCTGATGTTATCTGCAGGTTTTTCATAAATGCGCTTTACACTGGAAAATTTTCTAGTTTGTGGAGTGTTTTTTATTATGAAAAAGTGTGTGATTTTGTCAGATGCTTTTTCTGATAAAATGTGTTTATGTCCTTTATCAGATACATGTTGATTTTTAGATGTTAAAACCAACCTTGTTTTCTTTTCTGTCTCTCTCTCTCTCTCTCTCTCTCTCTCTCTCTCTCAGTTAGAGCATCAGGGTGATACTTGCCTCACAGAATAAGCTGAGGATAGGGAGCAAGTTCTTCTTAGAAGGGCACTAATTTCATCACAAAGGTCCCACCTTCATGACATCTGAGAGCCCCAACTTCCTCCCAAAGGTCTCATCTCCAAATACCATCACATTGCAGGTTAGGGTTTCAAAATATGAATTTGCAACAGGGTGTGATAGTTCAGTACTGTAATCCCAGCACTTCGGGAGGCTAAGACAGGAGGAACACTTGAGGTTAGGAGTTCAAGACCAGCCTGGCCAACATGGCTAAACCCTGTCTCTACTAAAAATACAAAAATTAGCCGGTCGTGGCAGCACGTGCCTGTAGACCCAACTACTCGAGAGGCTGAGGCAGGAGACTCTCTTGAAGCCAAGAAGCGGAGCTTTCAGTGAGCCGAGATGGCATCACTGCACTCCAGCTTGGATGACAGAACGAGACTCCGTCTCAAAAACAAAAAACAAACAAGAAAAAAAAATACGAATTTGGGAGGGACGTAAACATTCAGTCCATTACGCAGCCCTAGTAGACTTAATACAATTGTTTAGCCCATTCACATTTAACGTTATTATTGATAATATTAGATGTAAGTATCCCATTTTTCTTTTTGTTTTCCCTTCCTTCCTCCCTGCCCTTTTCCCTCCCTCCCTCCCTCCCTCCCTTCCTTCCTTCCTTCCTTCTTTCCTCCCCTCCTTCCTTTCTTCCCACCCTCCCTCCCTCCCTCTCTCCTTTCTTCCTTCCTTTTTTGAGATGGGGTCTCACTCTGTCACCCAGGCTGGAGTGCAATGATACAAACATGGCTCACTGCAGCCTCAACTTCATGGGCTCAAGCCATCCTCCTGCCTCAGCCTCCTGAGTGGCTGGGCCCACAGGCGTGTGCCATCATGCCCTGCTTTTTTTTGTTTGTTTGTTTTTGGTAGAGACGGGATCTCTCTATGCTGCCCAGGCTGGTATCAAACACCTGGGCTCAAGCAGTTCTCCCTCCTCGGCCTCCCAAAGTGCTAGGATTGCAGGCGTGAGCCACCATGCCCAGCCTGCTTTTTGTTTTTTAATATGTCGTATTGTCTTTCTGTTCTTCTGTTCCTCCTTCACTGGTTTTTCGTTGCATGAATCTTTTATAGTTTAACATTTGAATTTCTTTAATTATTGGTTTACTATTTTTTAAAGTTATTTCCTTGGTGGGCCCAGTGGCTCATGCCTGTAATCCCAGCACTTTGGGAGGCTGAGGCAGGCGAATCACTTGAGGTCAGGAGTTCGAGACCAGCCTGACCAACATGGGAAAACCCCGTTTCTATGAATAATAGAAAAATTAGCTGGACACAGTGGCGTACACCTGTAATCCCAGCTACTCAGAGGGCTGCAGCAGGAGAATCGCTTGAACCCAGGAGGCAGAGTTTGCAGTGATCCAAGATCGCGCCATAGAACTCCAGCCTGGGCAACAGAGCAAGACTTTGTCTCAAACAAACAAACAAACAAAAAAGGCTGGGCACGGTGGATCACACCTGTAATCCCAACACTTTGGGAGGCCAAGGCAGGCGTATCACGAAGTCAGGAGTCTGAGACCAGCTTGGCCAATATGGTGAAACCCTGTCCCTATCAAAAATACAAAAATTCGCTGGGCATGGTGATGGGCACCTGTAGTCCCAGCTACTTGGGAGGCTGAGGCAGGAGAGTTGCTTGAACCCGGGAGGCAGAGGTTGCAGTGACTGCACTCCAGCCTGGGTGACAGAGCGAGACTCCGTCTCAAAAAAAAAAAAAAAAAAAAAAAAAAGCTCTAAGGCTTCCGATATAGATCTTATCAAAATCTATAATACTTCTGATTTATAATAATTGAATTCCAGTGACATATATAAATGTAATTCCTGGCCAGGCCCAGTGGCTCACACCTGTAATCCCAGCACTTTAGGAGGCCAAGGCGGGCAGATCACCTGAGGTCGGGAGTTCGAGACCAGCCTGACCAACATGGAGAAACCCCGTCTCTATTAAAAAATACAAAATTAGCTGGGCGTGGTGGCACATGCCTGTAATCCCAGCTACTAGGGAGACTGAGGCAGGAGAATCGCTTGAACCTGGGAGGCGGAGGTTGCGGTGAGCCAAGATCGTGCCATTGCACTCCAGCCTGGGCAACAAGAGTGAAACTCCGTCTCAAAAAAAAAAGAAAAGAAAAAAAAAATGTAACTCCCATTTATTTCTGTTCCCTCCTCCTCTTTTTGTGCTATTGTTATACAGATTATACTTACATATGTTATAAACCAAACAATACTTTGTTATAACTTTGTTATAAAATTTTAAGTATTTTAAATCTTCTAAAGTAGCCGAGAGAAGAAAATAGAGCCAAGTTTGTATTTATAGAGTTTGTAATATTAATCTTCTTATTGACTATTTCTTGTTCTTCCTTGTTTGCTGTGGATTCAAGCTACCATCTGGTGTTACTAGCATTTTATATGATTCCGTTTTCTCTCCTTTCTTAGTGCATACAAATCATACTTTTCTTAAAACTTTTTTTGCTGGTTGTCCTACAGTTTGCAATATACATTTATAACTAATTCAAGTCCACTTTCAAGTAACATTATACTGCTTTCCAGGCAGCACAGGTACCTTACAACAAAGTATTCTTAATTCTTCCCTCCCATGCCTGGTATCATTGTTGTCATTCATGTAACTTATCCATAACCTATAATCATCAAATATATTATTATGATTTTGAATAAATGATTATTAGATCAATTAGGAATAAAACAAAAGTTTTATTTTACTTTCAATTATTCCTTAACGTTCGTTCTTCATGTAGCTCGAAATTTATGACCTACATCATTTTCCTTGTCTCTGAAAAGTTTCTTTTAACATTTCTTGCAAAGCAGGTCTACTGGTGAGAAATTCCTTCAGTTTTGTTTGTGAAAGTATTTCTCTTTCACTTCTGAAGGATAATTTTGTTGAATACAGAATTCTAGGCTGGTGGAGTTTTCTCTCAAAACTTTAAATAAGTCACTCCACTCTTCTTGCTTGTGTGATTTCCGAAGACAAGTCCAATGTGATTCTTATCCTTATCCCACCTTATCTTATTCCCATCTCACCGTACCCTGCTCCTGCTCCCGGCTTTGCTCGCTCTTTCTTTCTTTCCTTCCTTCTTTTCTTTTTTTTGAGATGGAGTCTCCCTCTGTCACCCAGGCTGGAGTGCAGTAGCATGATCTCAGTTTACTGCAACCTCCACCTCTTGGATTCAAGTGATTCTTGTGCCTCAGCCTCCTGAATAGCTGGGACTACGCCACACCTGGCTAATTTTGTACTTTTAGTAGAGACGGGGTTTCACCATGTTGGCCAGGCTGGTCTTGAACTCCTGACCTCAAGTGATCCTCCTACCTCAGCCTCCCAAAGTGCTGAGATTACAGGCTAGCTTCTTTTGAGATTTTTTTTTTTTAATCTTGATTTTCTGCAGGTTTTTTTCAAATTTTATTTTAGATTCTGGCATATTGCGTGATGCTGAGATTTGAGGTATGAATGATCCTGTCACCCAGGTACTGAGCACAGTACCCCATAGTTATTCAGCCCTTGTCCCCTCCCTCCCTCCCTGCTCTGGTAGCCTCCAGTGTCTACTATTGCCATCTTTACATTCATGTGTACTCAATGCTCACTTATAAGTGAGAACATGTAGTATATGATTTTCTGTTCCTGTGTTAATTTGCTTGGGATAATAGCTTCCAGCTACATCCACGTTTGCTGCAAAGGACATGATTTCATTCTTTTTGATGGCTACATAGTATTCCATGTTGTATATGTACCACATTTTCTTTATCCAGTCCACCATTGAAGGGCACCTAGGTTGACTCCGTGTCTTTGCTACTGTGACAAGTACTGTGATGAACATGCAAATATATGTGTCTTTATGGTAGAACAATTTATTTTCCTTTTGGGTATATACCCAGTAAAGGGACTTCTGGGTTGAATAGTACTGTTTTAAGTTGTTTGAGAAATCTCCAAACTGCTTTCCACAGTGACTGAATTAATTTGCATTACCACCAGCAGTGTATGAGCATTCCCTTTTCTTCTCTGCAGCCTCACCAGCATCCGTTGTTTTTTGACTTTTTAATAGTAGCCATTCTGATTGGTGTGAGATGCATTACTCTGATTATTAGTGATGTGGAGCATTTTTTCATGTTTGTTGACCGCTTGTATATCTTCCTTTGAGAAGTCTGTTCATATCTTTTTGCCTGTTTTTTGATGGGGTTGTTTTTTTGCTTGTTTAATTAAGTTCCTTACAGATTCTGGATATTATGACCTTTGTCAAATGCATAATTTGCTAATACTTTTATCCCATTCTGTAGGTTGTCTGCTGACTCTGTTGATAGTTTCTTTTGATTTTCTACAGTTTAAATAGGAATGCCTAGGTGTAGTTCTTGGCATTTATCTTTCTTAATGTTCTCAGGGCTTCCTAGATTGCGGTTTGGTGTTTGGCATTAATTTGGGAATATTCATTCTCAGTCGTTATTGTTCCACATATTTCTTCTGTTCCTCTCTTTCTTGTCCTTCTGGTATTCCCATATATTAATATGCATTTAATGTAATTAATTTTTTAAACAAAATATAACTTAGGACCCAGGCATGGTGGTGTGCACCTGTCTCAGCTACTTGGGAGGCTGAAGTTGAGGGTAGCTTGAGCCCAGGAGTTTGAGGTTGTAGTGTGCTGTGATCACACCTGAGAATAGCCACGGCACTCCAGCCTGGGCAACATAGCAAGACCTACCCCTAAAATTTATGTGTGTATATATATACATATATGATTTGTATGATTTTCATTATACGTTTATAGCTATATATGTGTGTATAGATACATAAACAAATATTATATATATATGAATGAATGAATGAATCACCTTGTGAGGGAAGTATTATCACTTTTTTTTTTTTTGGAGAAGAGGTAGCAAGGCTCTGAGAGGTCACGACACATGCATGAGGTCACACAGCGCGTCTGGAATTCCATTTCAAGCCTGTCTTAGGAGGGCGCTCTCGCTGTTCCTTTGCCTGGTCTTGTGTCCCCAAGTGTGTAATATGAAGTAAGACCCAGGATCTGCGGCCGGGAGTCCCGGCCTAAGGCGAGCGCAGTCTCCAGCCGCCCCACCCGTGGCTGGGGGCTCTGCGCAGGGAGCACGGCCGGTAGGGGGGAAGAGGCGTGCGGTAGGCAGCAGCGGGGATGGAGGGAAGGGTGGGGGTCCGCCACCCGCCTGTGCGCGCCCAGTCCTGCCGCGTCCTGGGTGCGCGCCGCGCACCTGCGGGGCGAGTGCCCAGGAAGCGCGGCCGGGTGCGCGAGGGGTAGTTCCACCGGGAGCGTTGTGGGTGGGGCCCGCCGAGCCCGCCTCCCCGCCTCCCCGCCTCCCCGCCTCCCCGCCTCCCCCGGCGTTGCCCCAGGCTGCAGTGTTCGGGGCGCTGGGTTATAAAATGCCGGGTTAAGCAGCGACTCAGACTTAGGATCCCGTTCACGACATGGCCTCGGGCGCTCGATTCCCGCCGCAGCCGTCGAGCTCAGAGGTCAGCGCAGTCCAGAGCCCAGGCGGGCGTCCAGGCGCCGGTCTGGAGGAAGCAGCCCTGGGCGTTCCTCTCCCGCCGTCTCCGGGGGAGGCCCCTCTGCCCCCGAGCACCCGGAGCAGGTGCCCTGGGACCAGCCAGCCCGGAGCGGCTTCCCTCCACGCGGCGTCCGCGACAGTCCCACTGCGGCCCTGGCGCAATACGGCGCTGGCCGGGAGAACCGCAGACCCGGTCCCCGCCGCCGCCCCAGAGCAAGCTCCGCGGCCCGCACCACAGCCCCCCAAGCCGCGCAACCTGGAAGGCGTCCTCGACGAGCGCCGGCTGCTCTGCCACTTGCAGCTGGCCCAGGACCGCGAGGCGCGCCTGTGGCGGGGCGGCAAACCCCAGGTACCCGTCCCCGCAGCGTGGCCCTCCTTGCGCGCACACGGCAGGCGGATGTGGCCTGCACCTGCACCAGCGCTCCGGTGTTCTGCACCTGGAGGCCGGGCGCTTCCCCAGGTGTGGCCCCTCACGAGAGGCACGAGGCTGGACCCACCAGCTTCTCTCTAAGAGGGCGTCTTGATAGCAGGGCCTTCGGAAGAGGGCCTGTTTGAATCAAGGAACTCGGCCTACGACGAAAAGCGGGCGCGCGGGGTGGGGGTGATGGATGAGCCGCTGCGCCAGCGGGGCGCTTACTCCCAGCGGGCCTGCAGGGGAAGGGACTTCTCACTGCCCGCCGGCACCTTAAGCAGGCCAGGAGTGGCCGCTAACGACCTTCCTCGCCCCACCTGCTCTTCTTCCTAGCGGGATGAAGTCTGCAATGCCTTCGAGGGAGTCGTGCTGTGGCTCCTGCGGCTTCAGAACATCTTTTACCTCTCCCAGTCCACTTTTAACCTGGCCCTCACCATCTTCAGCCGCCTCCTGATTTCAGCGAAGGTAGGGAGGCCTCTGAGGGACGATGGCAGATGGTGAAAGAAGAAACTAAAATTTGCTCCCCATTCCTGCTTGAGAGGTGAGGGGTTCCAGAGGCTCAAACCAAGGTGTATAAACTAACTTGCTTCGAGTGGTAGAGCTGGTTTTGGAACTTCTCCACATCCTACACTGGCTGTCTCAGGGTCACGTGGTCATCAGGGTGGGGGCTTGGGGAGCGTGAGAGGAAGTAGCTGGGAAAGGGCTTCCTGTGTAATGAGGTAGGATGTGCTTGTCTCGACCTGTCGAGGGCAGCTTGAGGCTAGGGTGAGACTGAGTTCCCTGAGAAGGTGCCGTATTTCCCACCTCCAGTCAGTCCCGAAATGAAGGAATACTGCCCAGTCATCTGCAGTTCTGAAATCAGGAGCATCCTCATTGGTCAGATCTAAAAATGGCACTAACATTCTGTCTTGTGGATAAATGGAGCCTTTTAAAAATGGAAAAAAGCTTATTAAAACAAAAGGCTGGGCGCAATGGCTCATGCCTGTAATCCCAGCACTTTGGGAGGTCAAAGGGTTGGGGGGGAGGGTGGATCACCTGAAGTCAGGAGTTCGAGACCAGCCTGGTGAATATGGTGAAACCCTGTCTCTACTAAAGATACAAAAATTAGCCAGGCATGGTGGCCCGTGCCTGTAGTCCTAGCTACTCAGGAGGCTGCGGCAGGAGAATCACTCAAAATCAGGAGGTGGAGGTTGCAGTGAGCCAAGATCATGCCACTGTACTCCAGTCTGAGCAACAGAGTGAGACTCTGTCTCAAAAAAGTATATTAAAAAAAACAAACAGATGCTTTTCAGTTTGTTTCTGGCATTCATATTCTGCTCAAATGTGTTTGTTCCATACCACAGGTAAAAGAGAAATACCTACATTGCGCCGTAATTACTTCCTTGAGGCTTGCTGCGAAAGTTAATGAAGAACAGGAGGTATGCATCCCTGGAAGTCCACACTGGGCTGCACTTCAGGTATAGGGGTGTAACATTGGAGGACTCCAGTTTCATGATAGGTCTGTGCCCTTCACGTATGGTGGATGTTTTGGAAAAGTCACCAACTTGCCAGCATCTCTGCTGTCCCTTCCATCAGCTTGTCAGACTTTGAGACCCCACAAATGAACAAGTAGAACAGCTGAACTGTCCTGGTTTGGTGTTTGACCCACCAAACCTAGAGACCTGAACTCTTGACAGATACATATGGCCTCACTGGTTGATGCCAGATGCTACCTCTCTCTCAACAGGGGCATCTGCTGTTGAGCAAGGAAAAAGGCCTCCCAAACCATGTGACTTAACATCCACCCCAAGCAATTATGTCTAAGAAAGCTGCCTGAGACTTGAGGACTTGGCTATGTCAATGAAGCTGGTCTTTGGGAACTCTGGGACCCCTGAGAGGGACAGGAGGGCCATGTGCTGGGGGTAAAGTACAAGGGCCCATGAGTGCTTCAGGCATGCCTGAATGGCTGAATTTCACTGTGCCATCTGTTCAGGAGGAGATCATCTCCTAATACCCTTTCCAAACTTTCCTACCTCCCTCCAACTTTTCCCATTTTGGGGATGGTGAAATCACTGCCATTGCCACAGGGGTCACCCTTAGCTGATCTCTGGGTCTGATGAGGCAGGGAAGAAGTTGTGTGTCCAGTTCTAAACCTTCAATAAAAATGTTTTAAACTCCTGTTTATTAGAATAGAATTAATGCCCAAGTTGCTTTTGTCCAACTAAAAATCAAGTGACCCTTTTTCTGGATGTTATAGTAATACTTCTGTCTATCTAAAAACATAGGATCAAGCCTTTAATATACTTAGTACTTGAATGTTTACTCATAGACAAGTCTCATTAGTCCCTCTGTGGGAAAAGCCATAGATTTTCCAGAACTGAACCACCTTCAATCAAGGTTGAAGGAAGTTTGCAGTTGTGATGCTGAAAAACCCATAGGAGGTTTTATCAATGTGTCTGTCTGGTACAGACTAGGAAGCTCAAAAGCATAGTTTTTTCTGTATGCCCAGTACCCATGGTAGGGATCAGGAATAGGGATAGGCAGAACCCATGGCTCCTGGAAAGCTTTGGGTGAGTTCTTGCAGCTGAACAGGGGAGATGGCACAGCCCCAGCCTCCAAAGCACCGTTGGGTATGAGCTAGTATGCAGTTGGGGGATCAAGACCTGGTTTCAGAGGGGGACCATGTAATGTTCACTACATAACTACCTGAGGATTTGACAGATAGCCAAGATCTAGTTTAGTATTTCTTTCAGAACCATTTTCTGTGGCAGGCCACAGGAAGACAACTCCACTAAGGTCATGAATGCCCAGTCCCCATGGATAAGAAAACAAAAGCTACTATGACATGATGTAGGGCTTTGGCCTCTTTATTTTCTTTTTACAGTTTATTCCACAAGTAAAAGACTTCATAAAGCACTATGGCTCTGACTATTCCCCGAATGAGCTGCTAAGGATGGAGCTGGCTATTCTGGACAGACTGCACTGGGACCTCTATATTGGGACGCCGCTGGACTTCTTGACTATAGTGAGTAAGGAGGCGTTTACAGAGTCTACCCTAAACTCGTTTGTGCCTTTGGAACAGCTGTTTACAACATAGGACGGCAAAGCACAGGCGTACACACGCCCTTGCACATGCACCACAGTGAGGTGACCCACAAGGCTCATGACGTACGGGAGAGTGAAAAGGTATCTTAAATCCAACACAGTTCCACCAGACTCCCACTTCTAAAGGACATTAAATTAACTTTACAAAGATTTTTAGACGGCACTATTATGGTGAGTTTCTCTTTTAAATACACACTGCAAAAATATTTAACTTTCCATTCTATGAATACTGTACATAAATATCTGTCTGCTTTTGCTACACTTTACACACATTCACTTAGCTGTCTTTATTCACCTACACACAATCCTTATTGAGGCTTTAGACCATATTGATCTGGCACTTAAAAAAATATCATACATTAGTTTGTATTTGTTTTAGTTGGGGGAATGATGGTCATCCTTAAGGATATAATTCTGTTAGTAAGGCAAAATTATGCAATGGGAAATCTCATGGGGTTTTGGTTTGTTATGAAGCATGAAGATTAAATTACTAAGGGCTGTTTCATTATGAAAACTGGCCACTGTTGCCAAGTTGCAGAGTTTCTTAGGATAAGCAGATACAAGTAACTTTTCTGCTACCTTGGTCTTGAATAGTATGTTTCTATTTTTCAGAATGGAAACATTGTCATCTAGGTACTTTCCACTCATAATGATGATGTCACACAGCAGACTCTTCTTTTTTTTTTTTTTTTTTTTGGTCTCTGGGGTGGAAGCTCAGCTTGGCCAGAGTGGGCATTAAGCCTCAAGCCCCTTATGGAGCCATGGATAGGAATGAAAAGGGTTGGGCAACATTTGATGTTCCCTGATGGAAATTCAAATTGTTTGCACTTCTGGTCATTGATATATGAAAAGTATGGGGTTTTCTGTTCTAACATTAAAAACCATGGTCTCCAGTTCCATGCCCTGGTGGTCCTGAGCTGGCCCCATGTGTTGGAGCTGCTGCCTCAGAGGAATCCTTCCCTCCACGTCGCATCCCTGACCAGGCAGCTGCAGCACTGTATGGCGGGCCACCAGCTGCTGCAGTTCAAGGGCTCCACACTGGCCTTGGTCATCATCACCTTAGAGCTGGAGAGGCTCATGCCCGGTTGGTGTGCTCCTATATCTGATCTGCTAAAGAAAGCACAGGTAGACATCAACTTTGCCCCAGACCAGGCTCTGTGTTTTGCCCCTTTAGCTGATGCACTCTGACCCCAAAGGGGTACCCTTTCCCCTTGTGGCCTCTGGAAAATGTTCTGGCCATAACCCTGGAAAGAGTCTGCCCAAAGGCTAGGCTTTCCACACTTGGCCATGCCCTATGCACTTGAGATGGGACATGTGTTCTCTTCACTGGACCAATGGGGGTTGTCTCTGAGAGTGCGAGAATCTTTCTCTCAATGGGAGCCCCTGTAGTCAAGAGGACTGGGGGGTCAGGGGGATGTCTGGCTTAGGAGGAAGCAACCCTGAGCTTAATACTGGGGAGCATACATTTTAAACTCCTTCACCTCTCCTGTGTACCAGGTACAGGGTACCATGAGGCAAGCATTGTTGGGGCATGAGGAGGAGGGGGGTGTGTAGGAATCCCTCAGAACAGACAGGTTAGGATGGAATGCATGGTTAAACTTATGACAACTTTACTGAGGTTGGAAATGGATGTCCCTGAGATGGTAGGATTAGTGGTCCTTAGTTGGGTGGTTGGACCTTCCTGAACTTGCTTCATGCTGACATTTTGGCACTCAATTGCCAATTTCTTAGAATGTATGATGGTTCTGCTTGAAGATGGCCACTCTATTCTAATACAGGTTGGTGATATGCAGTACAGCTGCTGCAAGGAACTTGTAACGCAGCAACTGAGAAGTTTTCAGTCATCATCCTGCACAGACAACTTTATGTCACCTGCCAACCAGCCGCTCTGCCTCCACCCTGGGGCCTTCAGAGCATAATGTGAAACCTCCTTGCTTGGACTACCATGAGTTCTTTGGCTTGTTATTAATCCTGTAAAACGGGAAGGTGGCCCTGGAAGAGCAACTGAGAAAAAGTTCCCAACTAAGCCCTTGGAAAAAAAATAAAGTGGGGAGGGGAAAGGCAGGCTGGGGTCAGTAGAGATCAGGGTGGTCTGATGACCATGACCCTGCCTTCCCTTTTTCTCCTCTGGGCCTGAAGCCAGGGAGTATGAATGAATGTTCAAATGGCAGCTTGTTTTTCCTTCCTTCTCCAGCAAGGGTTGGCATTGGCCCCTGAGAGCGCTGGAATATGAGACCAAGAGGCAGGCCTGGCTCAGGGCTGAAGGGTTGGGGCTAGTTCTGACCAGTTCTTGCTGCTCTACCCGCCAGAGCTGGCCAAGTCCTTCCAACTTCCCAGGCTTATCCCAAACATATATGTGGTGCTTCCAGTCCCAACTACCCTGCCTGCAACTCCTAACATGGGACAGTCTCTGCAGACACATTTACCTGACCATGGCCATGTCTTATGTCTTCTTTTTACAAGGACTGGATTATAAAGTATGCTTTGTTTAATGTAACTTGAGCAAGCTTTAGGCATATCTTTCCTTTGTTACTCTTAAGCAAAGTGTTTTCAGTTATTAGTTTAACTAGAGGGATTTTGTGCTAATGAATGGGTATTATAGGCTAACACCTGTGATGGAAGGCACAGCTCTGAGTGCTTTGTTGGGATGAACAGGTTCTGAGGCCAAGCCTGCTCCAACCACAGTGCTGCCAGGAGGAGGAGCCAGCTGCTTCTTTCAAGCTGTGCTACCACAGAGCCATTCTCTGAGCAGGGGAGTGCAGCTGACACAGATGCCAGCTGGGCTGTGTAAGTTGTGTTGGGGACATGAATGACTGAGCTACACATTCAGAGGTGGTTTATGAAGTCTTCCACTCTGAACTATGGTGGCTTTGTGTGTGTGTGTGTGTGTGTGTGTGTGTGTGTGTGTGTGTAAATGTGCTAAGCCATGGTGTGGGAAGGGAATGATTTACTAGGTGCAAAGTGGTCAAGGGCTAGATATACCATAATTGTCTATATTATAGAGTTAGTATACATCTCTATTTTTTCTTGACACACTTTTGCTTGCTGGAGCTTTTGTTAAAATTAAACTTTAATTGCTTCCATTCCTGTATGAATCTTATTTTGAGCTACAATGCATTTAGGCTTGCGAGAGTCAGATATATTTGGAACACTATCTCCTAGGTCATATCAAGAACTCTCCTCTAGTCCAGAACCCATTTTACAGATGGAGATGCTGAGGCCATGCTGCTCACAGCTTCCAGTGGTGGCCGTGAGTGCCCTCTGCCTCCTTCCAGTGTAAGTGGGACCACAGTGCCTAAGGCAGGAGGACATCCCGAGGGCCCATACCAGCTTGGGAGTCCCGGGCTTTGGGGAACTGCTGGAAGACATCTGCTGCTTAACCAGGTGGCTCTGGATGTGAGCTAGATTCCGAGAGCTGATCCAACTCAACCTCTTGGAGAAAGCAGAGGGTAGACCTGTGAGTCCCAGGACTGGGATAGGAGACAACCTTCTGCTCTGGCTTTCTGTAAATGATAGAACTCTTCTATAGGGAAGCTCACTTTTGTATTGCCAAAGTCCCACTTGTGGATTTTAAAAAGTCTTATGTGCTTTTCAAGCTTGCCTTGAGGCCCCAGATCCCATCCTATTTCCCTCTAATATTCTTTTCTGACATTAGGAACTCCTATCCCACCTCAACTCAGAGATTGGGGAACACTTCTCAGGGAGAAATATGGATACAATCCATTTTCCTTTTGACCCCACCTATAGAAAGGCAGGGATTAGTGAAGAAAATGGAGATGGAAACAGCTCAGAGGCAGATGCTATGGCAGAAAGAAAGGTAGGTGGGCTCAGGGAGGAACAGGGCAGGGAGGGAGCATCATAGACCTGTCTTAAACTTGTCCAAACAGTACTTCCCTGAAATGAAGGAGCCAAGTCATTTGATGATGTTTTCACCACCTAGGAGACCCTCCTCCCCCTGGCTTCCTGGAAAGTCTCTGTCCTTCAAAAGTTGGTGAATACTTTGCCTCCCTGCTGCCTGCCTTCCCACAAGTAGAGCTGAGCTATGCCTGCATTAGGGATGTGTTCATACCACTCTTCCTGTAGGGAATCCCCATTTTCTCATTTTGGTCTTCCAAAATCTACCTAGTGCTCAATGGAGAAAGCGCCTTTAAAAAGAAACCCACGTACTTTTTACCGCCCTTCAACCACTAGTCTGCCCTTCCTCAGCCAAACTTTTGCCTGTCCTCTAGGGCTATCTACCTCTAAAAAAGAGTCTCAGGTCCACCAGCCCACATCATCAGGCTGTGTACTTTAACCTGGCCACACTTCCACTACTCTTCCATCATTCCATTGAGATGCCAAGGAGCAGCTGTAGGCTCAGGAATTAAGGGTACAGATTACCAGCGTTCAAATCTCAACTTCTCTAGTTACTTGCCGTGTAACCTTGGGTAATTACTTAAACCTCGTGTTTCAGCTATAAAATGGGGATGAATGGTCCCTAATCATAGGATTAGGATGAGGATTAGAGGAGTTAATACATGTAATGTGGTTCCGAGCAGTTCTGACACTCAAATATTAGCAGTCCCATGGGAAGCCTTTTTGCTAAGGAGGAACGCTCCTTGAGGGCAGGAGCCCCTTTTCTCATGTCCTGCCCCCAGCTGTCCAATAAAGATTTGTGGACCACAGACTGCACCTTTACCTTTCTGTGAGTTTCCTGTGACTCTTCCCTCCATCCCCCACCTATCCAAGAGCCTTTCACAGATGCCTGTAGCAGGGTTTCCTATTAAAACAATTCCTACGGAAGTAGATCAACCTCCACAAAATTCAAAGAACAGACAAGCTGTATTTTACCACAGTTGTAGCAGATTAATGGGCTCAGGAAACTTGTTAAATTAGAAAAGCTACTGCCCAAAAAAGACACCACAAAAACTCAAAATAAATGCAAAATTTAATGGAAAAAAATGAGTACAAAGTGAATGGAAAAGAACAAAAACAGTCAATGAATGCAGGAGTAAATGAATGAACACGTGAAGCAATTTTAGAAAAGCATGTTAACATAACAGACTAGCAAGCCACATGCGGGCCTCATATCCATGAGCCCCACTTAACAGGGAGCCCACATTTAGACATACACAAACATATATGCAGTCAGTATGCACAATTACAAACCACCTAGATCAGGTTACCCACAACTAGAAAGACCATATATCCCCATTGGCCTGGGACAGGTCTGATTTATGCCTGTTGATCTGGTGTAATTAATAGCATCCCCTTTCTCTCTTAATAGTCCCAGTTTGGACAACAAATTATATAGTGATTCTTCTACCCCAAACAAACATGGTTTATGAAAGACATGATAGTAAATGCCAACATGATCCTGTAAGACAGCCCTATTAACACCAACAAATGACAATGAGGAAAAAAAGGGTAAATGAGACCCTGCAGACAGGGTCACATTCTATGAGAGCTAACTTATTAAACAGTGGCAAGTTTTAAGCTCACTTTATGCACCAAGGTTTAATTTGGTCTCAGCTAAAGATGACAAAATTCCAAACACAAACAGCAGGGGGAGAGGTACAGTGAGGCTTGCTAGAGGGACCTGTGGAGGCAGCTCAGACTTGAGAAAACGCAAGTCTGTCAAGTGTCCCTGAAGATACTGGGAAGGCTCAGACCCACAGGCAGGCAGCCAGCCACGAGTATGGCCTTTCAGTATACCCGGGGTGCAACCCGCAGGCCACAATGGACGAATAGCCAAATCTGCACACTCCAGAGTCCCTGGTTGGCCCATGAACCAGGAATTCTTTCTTATGTATCCAATGAACCTGCTGGGTCACCAGGCCTCATCTTCAGAAATATGTTAGCTGAGAGAGGCTATCTTAAAGATCATGCTCTGACCCAACTGCATACACTTTCAGACATAAAATTACCCTAGAGATGAGCCACTGGCAGCCCACACTTGCCATGGATATATGCCAGTTTACCTTTTTAGATACCCTCACTGAAGCATCAGTTTTCAGTTGCAACCAGATGTGGACTTATTGTGAAGCTAATGAACCGTAATCTTCAGGGCCCCTTCCAAGACCCTGTACCTAATTTTATATTAACATTGTTTTTCTTAAAGAAGTCTGTCTAAATAATTCAAGCTTTCAGTCCCACAAAATTTAGATCCACCCCGGTCATAGCATAAAAACTTGGAGAATTGTCACTAGAACCTGCTCTGCTGCTGGAGCATGGAGCCCCTCATAGGTAAACGCTGCCTCTTCCTGGCCGTGCCTCAGTGGACGCACACAGCTCACCCCTCCGCCTCTCCCTGAGCAGAACATCATCTCAGGAAGGCAGGAGGAAGCCAGGACTTGGTCCTGGAAATCACTAATGCAAGCCAGGCAGAAAGTGGGAAATGGTCATGAGAAAGAAGACAGGGGCATGAAAAGCAAACTACCAACTCCACAATAAATTAGCACGGCTTCCTGAGGCTTCCAGCTAGGGAGTGTGCTAGACTGTGAGCTCCTTGAGGGGAGCGTTGTGCATTCCTCTGGGTAGCTCCAGTGCCCAGCACAGTGCTTCAACATTAAAACTACCCTTCCTTTTGTCTATAGTCATTTTCCATCTCCCATTTTACCAGGCCATATTCTCAACACTGACATTCTCGGTGGCTTGTAAACCAACAGGAGCATAGAAGAATCAAAGCTGCTAGTACTTCCTTAAAATGTTCCCCTTTAGAGTGCAGCTGAAGGGGAAAGCTCTTTTGCTGCTCATTTTTCCCTCATTGTCTGTATACATTAGACACCTTCATCTCTTCACCCTGTGACCCAGCCAGGAAAGAAGCAATGACTTTGACGTAACAACCTTTTTCCCACTGAGTACTCTTTGCATTTGGAATATGCAGGATTTGCTTGGGAGTCTTAATTGGAGTCAAACACTTAACACACACACGGAGTTGGTCCCTGTTTACAGGTAGCACCTCTGGGGCACAGACAATTGCTTTAGGCTGCTGTTCCATTTACATTCACAGTAAAAACGCTGGACATGGTCTTGTTCATGTTCCAATTCCATCCACAAAGAAATGCCAAACACTGTCATTACAGGAAGTTTATTACCCACCTCTCCCTGTGTATGATAGGCATACTTTATACATAAGAAAGGTTTAGCGGTATTTTTAGTTTTTAAAAATCAGGAAATCTGTGTTACTTATGAAAATAATGGGAGAGGATATTATTTGTCTTGATGCTGGTGCCAAAATAAATATTTAGAAGTGTTTTAAAGTTATTAAAATTAAGCTCTAGGTTAGAAAAATTAAAATGAGGGGAACTGGGTGAATTTTGCAGCATGTATACCAGACCACGCAGCTGCACCTAGGGCACCACGTGAGTTGCCATCTCCACGCTGAACAATTAGGCCTAGCATCCCGGCTGGGGCCTTCGCTGGAGCGGCACATAACAGCTCCATCAGGGAATAGTGACACTGTAAATGGAAGACCAGCCACTGGCTCTGAAAAAAATAAACCTCGTCAGTTTTGGATTCCAGCATTCCTGGCTTTTATGTGTTTGCATAGAGAGGGGTGGTCCACCAGGCCTGGGGCAGCCTGGGGCCAGGGTCAGGTAGGGGAAAGCAAGGCTGTAAACACTGGAGTCTGTACCGGCTCCCAGTCCGTCCTCACACCATGTTATGGGAGAAGGGTCACAAGGTGTAACTCAAGCAACTTAACACATGAAAGTCTAAAGTCCACTCTTGACATGTAAGTCTGTGCGTGCGTTAACTGAAAAATAAAAATAAAACAAACAAAACAAAAATAGACACATTAAAAGATATGCAGACCAAATCAAACAGAAGCAAAAGACAGCAAGATGGACACTGCGAAAGTGCAGTCAGTTTGGCATTTGTGACGAGCAAAGCAGAGAATTCACTTCCGTTTGTGGCGTCCCAGGCTGAGGGTCAAGATCTGATTCAGAAGTAATTTTGCAAAAAAATTGGATTCAAATTTAAAGAGTAAGTATAACCGATCAAAACCACTCAAATAAATGGGCATGAAAAACACCCCTGCCCCCATTCCAAAAATGCACTCCCGACTCACACTAGTCCCTTGACCAGGGCGGCAGGAAGGAGTATTCCCAGTCACCCCCCCACCCCACTCTTGGCCTCCACAGGGCCGTCATGGGAAGAGAGTTTTCTCTCCCAGGGACCAAACTGACTGAAGCTTTCTAGCAGGTCCAGAAAACAGGAAAGACCTGTTTTCCAGGCCCAGGCCTAGAGAACATATCATGGAGCCCTGGCCACATGGGAAAAGCAGGGAGACCAGACACTAGTGACAAGCCCCCACCCCGAGGGCTGTGCTGGTGTCCTTTCAGCCTGCCTGCACCCACCTTCACTGGCCCTCACACCCTGAGCTGGCCACAGACCCTTGTCTGCAGTTTCTAAGTGGTTTCTCCACAGCTTATTTCCTAGGGAATCCTGGCTATCTTTTCTTTAACAAGATGGCAGGAAGCAGAGCAAAGTCACTTTGGGTACCAGCATCTGGGTCATAGACTTCCACTCAGGAAAATCCTGATTTCTGAGCTGCCAGCTTGAAATCTACACAGGTTCCAACTCGCAGAGCCCCAACGCTCACCAAGCCGAAAGATGGGTGTGGGAGCGGGGCTGGAAGCAAATGCAGAGCAGAGGGGAAATTCACAGCTGAGGGGAGTGTGGGGCTGGGGTCCTCCCTGGGGACAGGTAGGGGCACATCTGTCCCAGCACTGTCAGCTGGGGTAGGGCCACCAGGCATCGGGATGAGGAAGACTACAAAAAGGAAAAGGGTCTGTCCTGAAGCAGAGGGCAGACCTTAGGAGTGAGAATTGGCAACCAGTTCTGAAATGCCTGGTTCTGTCCCCGTTTCCTCCAGCAAGAAGTCCTTTGAGTTTTTTTTTCCTTGGTATGTGTTTGTGTGCCTCTGTGCATGTGTGTATTGTGTGCTGGTAGATATGTGCCTGAGACTGTGTATGTGAGATGGGACAGGAGAGAAAGACAGTGTGTGTGCACATGTGTATGCACATGTGGTTAGGAAATGCCATATTGGGGGTGGGGCGGGGGTGGGGCAGGGGCAGGGCTAACACCAAAAGCAACAGCCCAGGGCCACAGCTAACTATGCACTTCATGGCCCTAATGGCTAGGCTCCATTGCCACCAAGGAAGGAAGGGCCTGCGCATATACATCCCCAAATATCCCAGAAGGAAATGGATCCCAAGAATGAGGGCCACGATGGGTTCACCTGCTTAGTTCCTAGGTTGGCAAGAGAAAGATGGTACCCAAGATAGGCCAGGGCAGGGAGAAGGAGGGATGTATGGAATCCCCATAGTGTGACGTGGCATGGCTGTGAATGAGATCGGTGGGCGAGGGAGAGCCCCAGAAGCCAGAACATCTGGACTCCAGCTAAGGGTATGGAAACAGGCTATGAAGATCGCCAGGGAGAAGTGACTCAGAGTTGTCCCCACCTGGCCACTCCGTTGACTGCACTCCTGGTGCTGGGAAAGGCCTCCCTGCCATCCAGTCTCTCTTTCCTCTCTGCGCTCTGCAGGAATAACTCCAGCCTCTACTTGAGGGGCAGCTCCTCCCCGCAAAAGAAACCACAGAGGCCCTGTGGGAAGCTGCTTTCCTCCCTTTAGCGCTGCGGACCCTTCAGAACAGCAGTGTGGTGACCACAGTGTCCAGGAGGCTGGTGTTGGCTGGTGCGAGTGCCCACGGTTCTCCGTCACCACCTGCCAGCCAATATGGGCCCCACACCACTGCCCCACAGACTGAGGAGGGATGCGCCACAGCTGTCCAAGCAGAAACCACTGCGGCTTTTGGAATCTGGTCAGCTGGAGATGCTGACATTGCCAGATCCTGTCCCTCCTCTGGCCTGAAAGACCATTCCCAGCATTCCCAGAGCCCTGCAGCTCTGCCCTTTCCAGGCTGCTCCTCGCCCGTGCAGCCCCACCTTCACCACACTGCAGCAGGGCCACAGCTGCCAAGGGGGCTACAGGAAAGCGAATGGGTGAGCAAGAAATGGTGGGGGGCAGGGGGGAAAGAGGAGAAGGGGGAAGAGGAGGAGAGGAAAAGGGAGAGGGAGGGGTAGCACAAGATTGCCTGTGCAAGCAAGAGTGCATGACTATGAGAGTGATCCAGACCACGAGACACTGGATCACTAGTGAAGGAAAAAGAAAGGGAACCAAGAAAGCTAGGGAGAGAGCCACTGAAGATGAGGGAAAACGAAACAGGAAAGGGGCAAGAGAGGGCGGGAGAAGAGCGAGAAGAGAGGTGAGGGACAAGAACGAAAGCAAGAGCCGTGGCCTGCCACCTACTTCTTCTTGTCCTTGTCCTTCCTCAGGGGCTGCTGCGAGGTGGCGTGCAAGGCCTGCGACTGCAGGGCCTCCACCGCAGCCTTCCGGCGATTGAAGGCGTTGGTCTCCTCCTCCAGTTCCCGGCGTTTTTCCTCCACCTTGCGCTTCTCCTCCTGGTGGACCCGCTTCAGGTGCTCAAACTTCTCATGGAGCTGGCAGCAGAAAGGGGACAGAAGATGGGAGGAGCAAGAAGAGGAGGGCTTGAGCCTGGGCCAGAAAGGCACCCCCACCTCTACCCTCGCCAGGCCTTCCCTCCCTCAGCATCCCCACCCCAGTCCCCAGCCTGGCACATACCTCCCTTTCCTTCTCCTTCAGCTCCAGCTCTGTCTCCTTCACTTTGTTGACAAACATCTGCCTCATCTCTTCCTCCTTCCTCTGCAGCTCACTCAGGAATTCCTTCCTCTTGGCCTCATATGTCTCTTGTAGGCTGTGGAGACCCACAGAAGAGAGGCCAAGGATGGGATTATGGAGGAATGGGGTAGGGCAGAGCCAGATAAGTAGAATCACATGGGCACGAGGGATAAGAGGATGGTGGGGTCCCCCAGGGAACAGATGCCAGGATGGTGCATCTGGCCACAGCTGTGAAGACAGGCTCACTCTGGCTCAGGCTGTCACCTGAAGGGCTGGCTGTCACCATCGCTGTCCTGAAAGCCCATCTCCTCCAACTTGCAGCGCCGGTAGAGCTCGTAGTGCCGGCTGTGGGTCTGCTCGCGGAGGTCTTCCATGTTCACCCGGATTAACATTTCCCGCAGCTTCACAAAGTCGCAGTGATTCTCATTCTCCACTGAAAGCAGAGGGCCAGTGGGGTATCAGGCAGGCATGCAGGCGGGCAGACTCCAGAGTCAGGGTGGGCACACAGGTGCGCATGAGGAGGAAACAGCACAGGGTACTACAGGCAGCAGGGCAGGCCACGGGACACAGTTCTACCCCCACCTGGGGATGTACTTCCCATCCACACTCACCCTGCACCACTCCCCAGGGGTACTGCCGTGCTCGGACCAGCTTGTTCCCCACCTTCACCTCCTCGGTGCTGCCCACTACGGCGAAGGGCAGATGTGCCTGGAAAGGGGCCCAGGTATGCGTAAGCCGGGAGTTGACACAGGCTAATGGCAGACTCTCCCTCCCTGCCCTTGGGTCCTAAGGAGGGGCAGCCAGACCTGAACAAAGGCTCCAGGGCCAGATGCTTGCTTCCTGGCTCTCTTCTTGAGAAATGTCCCAGAACTCCAAACAGGGGAGTGGGCTGAACCCTCAACCCCCTCCCTGGTGCTCCTGATTCTCCAGGCTGTTCTTTCAGCCCTCAGGCCTCCCAGGGGCCATTAGAGCTCCCTGAAAGGACCTGTGAGCCTGGCTCCCTTCCAGGTTCCCAAACCCTTAAGCCTGCTCAACTCCTTCCGTTTCCAGGCTCCTCCATGAGTCCAGATCTTATGACACCCAAACTTGGGGTCCCCAGTGTAGGCCCACTATCAGATTCCTCCTGTCCCCTGCCCACAGATGTAGGACTGGCCAGCTCCAGATGCCCACCCTTCTGTCCTGGAGAAGCTAAGGCTGGAATCCTGGGGAACAAGAGTCTCCTGGGGCTGTGTCAGATTTGTGCCGGCTCCTCGCCCTCTGGCCCCAGGGCCCTGAGGCCCCGCCCAACGCTCACATTCATGACTGCGTTAATCTCTGCAACAGCCTCATCATCTGTGGGAAACTGGTAGATCTGGACCCCGTTGCTGACCAGCTCGCCCATGATCTTGATCTTGAACTTGTGGAGCTCGCTCTTAGAGATGGTGTCAGCCTTGGCGATGATGGGAATAATGTTCACCTGCCAGGATCAGGGGAGAGGACAGCAGGCTGGTTGGCTCTTTGAGCAATGGTTCCCATGCCATGGCTAGCCATGCCCAGGCCATATCCCTGGGCAGGGGGAAGGAGGCCACAGAGATGGAGCCACTCCCACAGGCAGCCATGGTGCAAACCCAGCCACCTGTGGCCATTCTGATGGGATTCAACAATTGTCTGCAGTGCTTCTTACAGCCCTGGTTCCCCCAAATCACCATCCAGCCCCAAAACTGGTCCCCCTAGGTATACCCAGCTTTGACCCAGAATCCTCTGAAGGTCCTAATTGGCCTGGGGCCTGACAGAAGGAGTGGTCGGGGGCTATGCTCCCCACTAAGCAGGTAAAAGGAGCCATCAGCAGTAGCCATAAGAAGATCCCAAAATCTCCCACATCCAGGCTATCCCGTTTTTCACAATAAAAATGAACTCCTGAGATGGGAAGGCAGTCATGTGAGAGCTGACAAGGGATGGGGGGCCACATGCCCTTCAAAATGCACAGCTCTTCTAGCCCTTCCCATAAAGCCACCTCTCTTCTCTACCCCTACAGTACCCAGCCCTCATTCACATCCCAATTCTGGGCCTTAACTCTCCTCTCCCTGATGGGCTCAGAAGGAACTAAAGGACACTTATATCAGGGAGGAAGGGGGAAGTGAAGGGAGGAGCTAGAAATTAGGAATTGAGAGATAGAAAATGAGCAGAGAAGAGGCTCAGACGGGGCAACAAACACTATTGGGAGCGTGAGAGGCAGCAGGGCTGAGAATGGCAATGATTCAGCTGCAAGCAAGGGGCTCAGGGTCAGACCCAGGGCACAGGACTCTGGAGAAAGAGCCCAGAGCAATGGGGGCCACTGGAGCAGGAGGGACAGACGCAAGACAGAGAGAGGACCAAGCCAATAGGGGCCATTCACAAGTCACCGACTAGATCCCTGAGGACCATGGTGGACAGGCATGAGGCAGCCACCACATCGCATGGCAGCAGAAGACTATGGAGCCTGTGACAGCGGGTGGGGACAGGGATACCTTGCTATCTAGTTTCTTCATGGTCACCAGATCCAGGGACTTCAGGGAGTGCCCCGTGGGCGTGATGAAGTAGAGGCAAACGTGGATCCTTGTGTCATGGTAGTCGAAGAGCGAGCGGCGGATCTTCAGCTCCTCCTGCAGATAATTTTCAAACTGCGCATCGATGTAGTCAACTATGGGCCTGTAACTACAGACAGCTCCATCACCCAGGAGGCTGCCAGCTGAGATCAGGGGCTTGGGGCTTGGGGGGCTCAGGGCTCGGGGCCAAGCCAGGCTGCCCTCTGGCCTTTTCTTTCTGGGAACAGCTTCTGCCCGAGGATCCCTAACTGGATACAGGCAGCTGACCCCTTCTCCAGACACCTAAAGGAGTAACTGGTCTGTTGGTGACCACAGAGCCTCAGATACTCCCCAAGAGGCACTCCCTGGCCCCCTGCAGTGTGAGGGCTGGGCTACTGGTATGGGGATCAATGTAGGTGGGGTGGGAAGAGGCTGGGTGGGGCCGCCCTTCCCGCCTCTTGCCTCTCATCCTTATTGATCTGATCCCCAAAGCCCACGGCATCCACAATGGTCAGCTTGAGCTGCACATTGCTCTCCTGGAGGTCGTAGGTCTGGGGCCGCAGGCGCACGCATGCCTCGTGGTGACTGGCTTCCTCAGTCTCGAAGGTCGTGTTGAAGAGCGTGTTCATCAGTGTGGATTTGCCAATGCCAGTCTCCCCTGGGCAGTGAGGACAGGAGGGGAACAAGTGGGTGTCACAGGCTGGAACTGGGGCTGTCCTTGGCTGGTGGCCAGGCCAGGCAGGGTTCAGGCATCCATGGCCCCTGGACAAGAGTAAGGGGCAGGCCGCCCACTCCCATCCCTCATCACCTCCATTCCCCAGGAACTATCTTTTCCTGTGGCTTCAGAAATAACCTGTGGAAGGAAGAGCCAAAAGGTGGACTTGGACAGAAGACATAGCTGTGTGTGATGTGTGATGTGTTCCCTCAAGGAGCAGGGAAGAGGCAGAGCCGTGCGGCTGTGTAGACACCACTGCAGACCCAGTCACCTCACACATAACCTGCTGTACACAACACCCTTCCCAGGACCAGGGTGGTCACAGGACCAGGAGGGCCAGGGTCTAAAGCCACCAGTGGCTCAACCCATGCGCCCTGGACAGCCCTAGCTCCACATGGCTTTAGCTGGGGGAACCCAGGATGGGCTGCTTCCCGAAGGGCACCTGCAGAGGGACCAGCAGAGCACTTTGTGCCCTTCTGGGACTCCCAGGGAACCTCTGAGAGCCTCTCTGCTTGGGGCTGCATTTGTTCATATGCGTGCCGGAGCACTTACCACAGGATATGGTGATGAGGGGCAGAGCTGTTTACCATAACGTCCTTGACACAGGGTAGGAAGCAGTAAATGAATACGTGTTTTTTAAATGAACAAACAAATGAATAAATGAACCTAAATCTCTGTGATAAACACCCACAGTTTACAAACCACTTTCATGTGCCCGATCCAGTTTACTCTTCCTGACAATGCTGTGCCAGGCCCTGGCTCTAACTCCATCCTTGACCTTGGCAGAGACACCAACCAAATCCTCATCCTGACACCCCCAAAGTTTCACTCTGCCTGGGAAGCCCCCTCGTAGCCCAACAAGGGGCCAGAAGCACCCCCTCTCCCAGGAGGTTCTCACCCACCCTCTGTCTAAGGCCAGGCCCTGACACTCACCCACACAGAGGATGTTGAAGCTGAAGCCCTGAGTGACCGACTTGCTGACCAGCTGGTCAGGGAGGCTGTCAAAACCCACATGGCCGCCCAGGGAGAGGCTCCGGGGCTCTGGCTCTGCATTCTGCCAAGAGAGAAATAAAACAAGACATAAGCCCACTGGAGAAGAAAGGTCAAGGCTGTGGGGGTGGGCGCTAATTCTGAGTTAAAACAGTGAAGCAGCCCCGCCCGATGTCTGAATTCTCAACAAATCTCAGTCACACCCTGAGTACACCCAAGCCAAGTTTCCCAAGCCAATTCCAGGCCAAGTTTCCCCAGAGGGAGCCCGATGCCCCCAGGGGGAAAGGCCCTTCCACTCTGTGACTTTGCTTCCCCTGGGATGGCCAGGGATGCCTGGCCTGAGGGCTCCATCTCTCCTGGCATAGGTGGCCCCAGGGGCTGTGGCTGCTACCCATAAGGGCCCACCTGTTTTCCCACTCAGCAGGAGGCCCCAGATGCTCCCAGAGGCCCAGATTACAAAGTGCATCTGCTCCTGCAGCCAGCTCTGAGGAGATGGGGGATGCTGCCCCTGCCTAGTCCTCCCAGGCCCTCCCACTGAGGCATGACTCAAGCAGGGGCAGGTCTGGTCTGACCCCCTCACACGCGTGCTCCCTCAGAGGGGCCTCCTGTATCAGCTGGGCTCGTGGCCCTCCATGCTCACCGCTGCTCCTCACATACCCACGTGTGGGACTCATGCATGGACCCTGCTAAAGGAGCCGGCCCTCACTCAGACAACCCCCCACTGGAGCTCAGGGGTGAGTTCCAAAGGGATTGAGACTCTGAGGCCTCCTCCCTTCTGCCTCAGTGGTGTTCTCTAGAGATCCCCAGCTCCTGGCTCCTGACTCCTGCCACCATCCCACACTTATCTCAGTCCTGGTTGTCTAGACAGAAGGTTCCAGGTGAGAATGTGGAGGCCTAGCCTTAGCAGAGAGCTGGGCGGCAGGCCCTGAGTGAGCTGGGGCCACTGGAGCTGGCCCAGCGCTCTATAAAAGGAAACCACAAGGACCTGAAGCAGAGGGTCATGGTCACACTCCATCTTGTGTGGCTGGTTTCTCTGACTCCCTGGAATGGGGTAAAATGCCGCCCGAGGGAAGGTTCCCAGGCTCAGCCCCTCTGGAGGGCAGACCTTAGACAGCTCCATGTTGTGCAGAATCCTGCCTCCTCCATTCCTGAGCCCCACTGCCCTGAGACAGCTAGAAAGAGGAAGGAGAGGAAAGGAAGGAGAGAAGGAGAGGAAAGGGCAGCGGACTCAGAGTTTCTCCTGCCCATAGCCACGGGGCGGGGAAGCAGGTCCAGCTGAGGACAGCCCAGGAGATAGGGCCGGTGGCAGATGTGGATACAGGCTCAGGATCAGGAATGGATGGGTGGCCCTGGCTCCTGCCCTGCAAAGGCATCTCTTCAGCACCCGAGCAGCTGACCTTCGCTGCAGCCCACTGCCTTGGCCTGAACCCCTCTGGCCATCCTTCCCTCCCAACCATAGAACCTTGGCACTCAAAGCCAACCTTCTCCACAATTGATGTCTACCTCCCCACGGCAGCCTTGTATCAGTGACTCCCAAGTGTGGGTGCTGGCAACCTAGACCCCACATGGCCCCTCTGGGCAGTTGTACCATCCCCTCAAACAAGTCAGGGCTAACCCTAAACCTGCTCTCTCCCATTCAATGGAGCCTCTTTTCTTATAGCTGACCCTTTCTCCCCATCACCTAGCCCCAAAGCATCATGTCCCAATCTCCCCACTCAAGCCCAGGTCTCCTTAAGGCTGCAAACATAATTGGACAAGGAGGTCCCAAAGGCAGCTTCTTCTCATTGGTGCCCACATAAAAGTAGTTAATGAAGCCTAGGAGGTACTGGGTCAGGTCCAAATCCCTTAGCATGGCGTTCCAGGCCTTCCTCCCTGGCCTGGTTCCAGCCTAGCTGGTAACTCTGAGCTCCCCTCTCAAACTCTACCCCTCCCCTGGGCTCTACAGCTTACTCTACCTTTTCCTTGGCACCCACTCTCACCTGGCCCCCAAGCACTTACATTCCAGACCCCTCACTTGCCAGTTATCCTGTTTCCTAGTACTACTGGTTATCCTTTTTTAATGCATCTTGATTCTCTACCTATTCTATAAGCTTCTCAATGTTGGCTGCTGGTTGGGGAGGTCAGGTTTTCTTTTCTTCCCTCCCTCCCATTATTATGCCCAACATGCTGGACAACGCTACCATTTACAAGTTACTGAACACGGCCTCCAACTGCTACGGCATTGGGGCACCTGCCCACCTTACACAGGGCTTCATTATTTAGTCTCTGTTCCACCTCCTTATGGCAGCTTGAGGATCAAATGGAAGACACAACAGTTAGTCTAGAGCTTTTTTCTTTTCAGGCAAGACTGAAAATCTCCAAAATTTAAGGCGTGCTGTGCTTGCAGAGAAGGTTATGTGTTTATTCATCCTCTTCTTCCAAGGGGTGACACAATCAGGATGCAATCCAACATCCTGTAGTCTGCCGCCAAACCCCACCAAGTCAGCTGTGTCTGGAAACCACACACACACACACACACACACACACACGGACGCAGAGCACTTACTGAGAAGCAGAGGCCATTCCATTCCTGTTTTCCCCCACTTTCTTACAGGTCTAGGCTCCAGAGGCTAAGTGTAGCACTGGGGATTGTTGGGGCGGGTCTCACATAAACCACCTGTCCACACACAGCAACTGCAGAGTGGCCTCCCCTCACACAGCTCGACTCTTTCTGTGGAAGTGTGGGGTACAGGGAGGTCATCATCCCTAAGTTGTTGCCCAGACTACACTCTGTTATTGCAGGGGCCACACATCTGGGGCAATATCTGTTTAGGAGCCCCAGGGAACAGTCAGAGGTATGAGTCTATGGAGCACGCATGTACACACACGTACACACACAGAATGGCCACTGGCCTTGATGGAGACAGTGTTGTTACCTTGTCCCAGGAGACTGATCTGACCTCCAGGCTTTACCAAGGGGTAACTCTCACTAATGCCAACTCCCTGATCATAGATTTGGCACCGACACGTGATCTAAGTTGCATTACTTGCTCCAGGGTGCCTGCCCCAGGCATCTCTACCAACCTGAGTGGGGTTACAACCTAGGAGGAACCAGCAGCCTCTGAAGGACCTCCTGCACATCTCAGCTACCATGACTCAGAAATAGTCAGGTCTTCCAGTGGCTACCAGAACTGCAATTTGGTGGGTAAGACCAGAGCTCCAACTCCTGGGGTGGGAGCCCATCAGCATGATCCCATGATTGGTGCAGGTACAGGCAAGTGACACATCTTGAAATGTGCCTTTATCACCATCTTGAAACCATTAGGGGAGCTAGCCTAAGGCTTCAGTCCACTCACAGGATGGCAGAGCCAAGAAAATCACAGAGAAGAGAGGAAGCCAGTGTCTGCCCTATCTCTGGGCTTTTCTCCTTACCCCTGGCCATATCCTCTTTATCACTGAGGCTAGTTGACTGGTATTATCTATTACTTGCAACTGAAACATCTTCAGTGCCATAGGATCCAAAGTAAAACTCTTTGGATGCAGAGGAACAGGGAGAAAGCAAGGAGAGCCAGGAAAGGAGGGACAGTGTGGAAGGTAAAACAGCTCAGTGTTCACAACCAAAGGAAGGAATGGATGTCTGAGATGATACCAACACCTCACTGAGGACCACCTTATGTGAACTAAGCCGAGTGATTTACACCCAGGCTCTCATTTAGTCCTTTCTCACTGTGGATGACAGACTCCACGATTATCCCCATTTTACAGGGGAGGAAACTGAAGCACACAGAAGCTAGGGAACTAACCAGGGCAGAGCAGGGACCTAAGAGTAGACCAAGCTCTTGTCCCAAACCACTCTGCTACACTGCCTCCCCTGTTCTTAGCAGGCTCCCAATTCATTCATTCAGTCACTCAACACACACTCACTGGACATGTCTGCTGTGTGCCAGGAACTGGGATGGCTGCCAATGAAAAGATGAGGACATCAGATCCTTGACCTCAGAGGGCTAAGCCTAAGCTCAAATGCCTTTAGAAGCCAGGCAGGTAACATATATAGGTGAAGGGCAGCACCACCCTAATAACAATGGCAACAACAACAGACATAACTAACATGTATTGCATGCTTGCTATGCGCAACCCTAATTTAATCTCATTTAGTCCACACTTCGGCCCTATGACATAGGCCATAGAAGCCTCCCCATTGTCCAGCTGAGACAATAGAGGCATCAAGAGAGTGTGTAATTTGCCCAAGACCACACTGCTCAGGAGAGCAAAGCCAGGATCTGAATGGAGACAACATGACTGTGAAACCCATGGTTCTAGTCACATCACTCTCTGCCTGCTGGATGAAAGACAGCAGCTAATTCAGCCAAGTGTGGGGGCTCCCGAGGAGAGGTGAGAATGATGGAGAACTGGAGAGCCTGTGCTTATGCTCAATCCATGGTGGCCGCAGTTCCACAACTCGAGCCAACTGTGGGAAAGCAGGTCTAGTGTTGCCAAATCTTCCCATTTTTAAAGAGAACCCAAAAATCTCTCTCTATATATACATATATATATATGTATTTTTTGAGACAGAGTCTGGCTCTGTCACCCAGGCTGGAGTGGTGTGATCTCAGTTCACTGTAACCTCCGCCTCCCAGGTACAAGCAATTCTTATGCCTCAGACTCCCCAGTAGCTGGGATTATAGGCACGCAGCCACCATGCCCGGCTGATTTTTGTATTTTTAGCAGAGACGGGGTTTCACTATGTTGGCCAGGTCGGTCTTGAACTCCTGACCTCAGGTGATCCACCCGCCTTGGCCTCCCAAAGTGCTGGGATTACAGGTGTGAGCCACTATGCCTGGCCCAGAAATCTATATTTTTATGTGAAATTCTGTAATTTTTAAAGATTGACAACCAATACAAACTGAGAATACCATGAGGGCCCAATACAACACGTCAGTGGGCTAGTGTGGGCCAAAGGCCTGCCGGTCTGTAAGCCGGCTCTGGTGGGAGTGAGCTGGAAGGACCCTGCAGCCCGGCTCCATTCTCAGGTCAGGAAGCCCCATGGCAGACTGCTCTGTGGGGAGGAGTCTTCAGGCAGGACAA